CTTGTTTAAGTCTTATATTACTCGATGTAATTTTAGTACGTTTGACGTTAACTTTGATAATATTAGTTTAAACTTTTTGGTCTTGTTTAAGTCTTATATTAATATTAGTGTATTTCAATAATTTTTTGTTTTTAAAAAAAATCCCCGTTTCCCCGTTGGGGATCCCCGTTCCCCGTTGGGGACGGGGATGGGGATGTGATCAAAATCCCCGGCGGGGATGGGGACGGGGACGGGGACACATACGGGGGATCGGGGACGGGGACGGGGACGGGTATTGAGGTCCCCGCCCCATCCCCGCCCCATTGCCATCCCTAGACGGGTCGGGAGATACGCTACCGGCCCTAGCCCCAACCCCAATTTGAGTCTACCGAGGATCCTCAGGACTCGTTTTAACAAGGAATCCCCATCTTTGTTCGGGTCGGATGAGTTGAGTTTCCTACTGGATTGGGATAAAATAATCATCCCTGGTAAGATCATATAGATGAATCGGAAGTGTTTTAATTATAGAAGGGAAAAATCAAAAATTATATTTATTGACGAAGTGTGTAACTAGGGGTGTTCAAATAAACTGTTGGACCGGCCGAACCAAGTCAAACTGGACCCTTTTTTGGCGGTTTGAGCAGTTTGATGGTTTGAAAAATTGCAAAAACGGGCGGTCCAGTCCAGTCTGGAATCTTTTTTGGGTGGTTTGGACCAAACCGACCGCCAAATATATATACACATACACACACACACATATATATATATATATATATGTATATTATTTTAGTATTAGTAAACCCAACTTTTTAAACTTATGGGCTATATGATCCAAATATATCCCTAAACCCAACATAATCAAAATAGATATTTAATCTAAAATTATAAATTATATATGTTTTTTTTAAGTTTGGTATTTAAAGTCCATTAAAAGTCCAAACCGTCTAAACTGGTCAGACCATACCGCCTTTTCGTGGTCTGGTTTGACCGGTCTTGACACTTGATATCAAATCGCTCGCTTTGCAATTTTTATAAACCGCCATTATATTTTGATTTATAGTCTGAGGTATTAAACCGTCAAAACCGGACCACAAACACCCCAATGTGTAATAACCTTGGGGTTGGGTGTATATAACTCTAGTTAAGTTTGATTATTATTATATCGTTTGTTATTTTATTCAAAATATGGATGAGAAGGAGCTAGAACGTTGACCAGGTATAGAGTAGTCAACCACAAGAAATCCCAGTTTTTGCAGTGGGCCCTACTTTCCTGATTATTTAGACTTCAAACGTGACTTCGTGTCTGCTTGTCAGGCTGAGATTACAAAACTATGGTTCCTTTTTTTATTATTAATATAAATTCATGTGTGAAGTGTGAACGCATTTTTAACTAACATTGAAATTGTTGTTTGATAGTTGTTGAATGATTTGATGTATAATGATTAAAGGGTTATTTGACATTTACTGAATGGTTTAATGTAAAATGATTAAGTGGTTATAATGATTAAGTGGCTCTCATGATATAGTGCAAAAGGAAATATAATTGTTTGGTAATTGTTTACAATGAAATTATGGCGCTTAATGGTTAAGGGAGACACATGATACAAAATCATTCAGAGGGTTTTAGAACTATTAAATTTTTTGCCAAACAAGATTTATCTTTTAATGATTTAGAGTCTGTCTCTTAATGAAACTATTAAGAGCCTTTGATGGTATAATGCAAAATGAAATATAATTTGTTTGATAATTGTTTACAATGAAATTATGGTACTGAATGGTTAAATGAGACCCATGATACAAAATCATTCAGAGGGTTTTAAAACCATTGTAATATAGACTTTTTTTGCTAAAAAAGATTCACTTCTTAATACTGCCTCTTAATGAAACTATTAAAAGGTAAACAAACAATCCCTTATCAGGAGTTTTGGAGGACAGTCAGAAAAGTAGTTTTACAGGATTCGAGTCGAGCACTTATAAGGAGAAACTCTAGAGGCCCAATTTTTATTGGCTGTTGAGCTAACCCCACAAAATAGCAGCGAGTCCTTAGAGTGATATTACTTAATTCAGATAACATGTGAGAATATATGCAACTCTCTTATTACTCATCAAAATAACTGTCAAGGAGAGGAAGGGTTTCAAATATATCGAGATGAAATAGTTCAAGTCTAGTCGATATATGATTGTATCATAAATGATCTAAACCTGTTTAGTAATGATTCAGTTCCAATTCAACGTGTGACCCAGAAAAACATATTTGCTTTTATTTTAACTTGAAAATATAAGCCAAAAAACAGTACAAGTTTGAGCTTTTAAATCTGGTTTTCTGATTCTGAACCAGAACAGAACAAATCCAGAACCAGTTATTCAAAAGAAATTCCCTTTTAGATGACACTTGGTTATGAAGGTTCTTCTCGTGGTATAGGTTTAAGGATGAATTCGACTGCTACTGGTCCTTACAACTTAATCAATATTGATATAATATCAGTAATCAGTTAAATTACTTTTGGCTTTCATATCAAACTGAACTGAAAATCTTTTACAGTCAGTTCTTGGTCCAATTTTCGTGGGTCCTGCTTTGATTCTTCGGTTTTCTTGGTTAAACCAAAGTCTTGCCCAGAGCAATTTGAAAAATAACCAAACACAGTCCGTTTCCAATCAGATTCGGACCATAACAAAATAGGATTATATACATTTTCATTGTAAGAAAGGGTCATTTGAACGTATCTAAATAGATATTATATTTACATATGGACCCTTACATCGTTACATTCCATTTAGGTAACCATTTTTTCTTAGGGGTTGTTTACCTAAATGCTTACTCGGTAAGTGCTTATTTATATGAGTCAACACTATAATTTATTTTGATGAGTAAGATTTTAATACATCAAAACGTATTTAATGCAACAATTTACCGGGTAAGCGCTTACTTGGGTAAGAGTCGTAATCTTCACTTACCAGATAAGACTCTTCATCTTTCTCATCGCGCTTACCCGGTAAAATTCTTGACCGTTGTCATATTTATCCAGTAAAGAAATTTATTCGGTAAGCACTTACCAAGTAAACGTTTAGTAAACGACCCCTTAGTCTATTAAAATCGTGAAAATGTTATATACCTAAATATCCCTTTATGCACACCTTCATTTATTTAGGTCGGTTAATAGTCTATTTTGAATTTTATATTTTTATTAAATTGCATATTTAATATAAAATCTTTTAGTAAAATTCTACTTATAGTAATATTTATTTACCTCTAGATATAGTTTTAGAAGTTGTTTGTTTACCTCTTAATAATTATATTAATAAGCAGTATCTGAATCGTTAAGAGATGAATCTTGTTTGCCAAAAGAAAGTTTGTCTTTTAATGGTTTTACAAACATTCTAAATGATTTTTGTATTATGGATCTCCCTTAACCATTCAGCGCACTAATTTCATTGTAAACAATTATCAAACAATTATATTTCATTTTGCATTATATCATGCGAGCCGCTTAATCATTTTGTACTAAATCATTCAGCAACTACGGAACAGAATTTACGAACTCATATAATATCCAATAAAAACGTTTCATTTTTCCATAAAGTAAACATAAGATCTAATTTGATATTTTAAAAAAATCATTTCAGGGTCGTTTATCAAACGCTTACTTAGGTAAGTGAACATCAAGTCATATTATCTTACCAGATGAACATAGTAAGGACCAAAAATCTTACCAGTAAGAGCAAAACAAGGACCAAGAGTCTTACCTGGTAAGTGATGACGACGATTCCTACTACGATAAACGCTTACTTAGGTAAGTGAACATCAAGTCATATTAAAAAGTATTTTAAGCATGTGATCTTGTAATTAAAATACAGGGACTTGAAATCACGTGAGACTAGCTTGTTTTCTTAAGACATGTGAGACCATTTCTTTGCACTTGAAAGTTCACAGTAAAACGCTGTGATGGTAATCTTCACAGTGTTTTTGCTATGAAAGTTCTGCTTTTTTTATCTTTACAGCTTTTACTGTTAAGTTTCAAGTGTAAAAAAACTGATCTCACGGGTCTCACGAAAACTGACTGGTCTCACTTAAACCCAACTCAAATACAGAAAGTACATCGTTTTGATGTTACAGAATGCAATAAATTTCCTTTTTTGTTAGAGAATGTAACGTGTTCATATTTTGTTTTATTTTTGAAAGGAAACGTGCTCATTTTCAAAACCTATATTTTGCCTTTCCGAATTTGTATATTATTTAATGCATTTTTTTTTAATTTATAATATATTATAAAATATTTAACAATAACTCTTAAAAATCATTTTTTATACATGTAATATTGTTTATTGAGGCACATTACTTAAAATTCAAGATTACAAATAAATCTGCATAAGTACAACTTATTCATGTTTCAATTTGTATAACTAACTGTAGATAAATATAGTCAAATACAAGATAAATATTTTATTTTAAATATAAAAATCTAAAATATAATTAAGATAATACTTAATTATTATTTTTGTAATTTTTTTTATTATTCAATAATTACAAATTAGTTCGTTATTAAATCTAAATTAAAGAAATTACACAAAAAACAAGAACTTTTAAATAGTTAATTTGATACCACTATTGATATATTTATTTTCGAAATTTTATGATATCTTTAAATTTAAAAAAACCATATTATAATATCTACAAAAATAAAATAAAATAAAATATTAAAATCAAGATATATCTCGTTACATTGTATTATACGAATACCCTTTTAATAAAATTAAAATACTTACCTAACCATGACTTAGAAAGGAGTTGAGTGGATGAGCTATTTTTGTCAATTTCTCGTGATTCCATAATATCGAAGCCAACTGGGTTTCAATAAAGGACAGCTCAGTGATGGAAATGGATGGCATGACTGTAAATAAATGGAAAAGAAGGTCCAAAGAGTTTTCTAGAACAAAATGGAAGTCGCTGGAGGCCAAATCTCTACCATCAAAAAACCGCTGGCCATCTCGTCTCTCTCTCTCTCCGCGTGGAAAAAAGCGAAATATATTATTGGAAAAAAAGGAAAAACCCAAGCAGAATCCGAGAAGAGAATTCAAATTTCTCATCACAAATCCTGAACGAATCAGCGATTTTACGAACCCTAGATTTTGAATTTTCGTTTTGTGTTCTTTTTTGATTTTTGATTTTGCTGTTAGGGTTTGCAGATCAAACAACAATGACAGCGCCTGTTTGGCATTAAGTACAAGTACTCTCGATTATTCTTAAGCTCAGAGAAAGGTACGTTTGCAGTTTGCATGCATTTGTATTCATGCGTTTTTTTTTTGAATGATTTATTTATTTATGTGATTTTGAATTTGTATCTAGAAACGTCGAATTAATTTGGGGGTAATGGAGTGGTCTGTATGATTTGGTTCGAGTTTTCGAGTGGAATGTGATGTGACTTTTGTTATTGAATGGCGGAATTAGGTTTTGTGTGGTTTTGATATTTCAGATCTGTTGTGTAGAACACGTTTTTCGTGCTATCTTGTTCTATCTCTTTCTGACTCTCTCTCTCTCTCTCTCTCGTTTGCTCTCTTTTTACAGTTACTGCTAAATCAATGTCTTTCTATCCTTTTTTTTGTAACTGATTTGGAACTTTTTGCTTGATTCTCTGAAAATTTGATGGTCGTGTTATGCTCCTTTTTACTGTTTGATTATTTGGATTGCAACATTTGAAAACCAATTATCTTGTTCTGTTGATGCTTCTCGAGTGAAACGTGTAAAAGGGGAAAAATGAATCACTCCTGCCCTCAATAATTGTAGGTGGGGTAGGGAGGTTGGATGTGTTGTATAAGACTTGACTGATCTCAACCTTTATGGATACAAATCAGACACTCTCCCATTACGTAGGCGATTCCGACCCTGAGTTTTCGTCCCAAGAAGCTCAACACTACTACAAAAGCCCTCGGTAATTCTTTTGAAAGCTATGAGATGCAAGAAATTACTAAGCACCTTGAAGAGAACTATGTATTGCTAGAACTACATGGAACTTGTAGGAAGATTCTGGATGCTTTCTTAATCAATGATTCAATAGTCTTTTTAAAGATGGCTGTAAATGTTTAAGGGAGTGCAAAATCCTTTTGATTTTCTTCTATTAGAAATCTGAAAACTTGTTTGATTTGAAAAGATCTCTTGTCATGCAGGGATATATGTGGTTCATTCATTTGCTTTGAGCAATCATTCAACTATTCTGAGCCTGTTTAAAAGCGTCCATTGACAGAAATACCTTCGGTAATTAGAGTTTTTCGATCATGGTGGCTACTGCTGCTACTGCTTCATTGTTTCCGGTTTCTTCCCCACAACCTGACTCTGGTGCTAAGAACTCCGGTAAGCATGGAGGTGGGCTGGGAAGTGTAGATGTGCGCGGAATTAAGACAAAATCTGGGTCTTCTGGGAGTTTGCAAGTTAAGGCCAACGCACAGGCCCCTGCAAAGGTAAATGGTTCTAGAATAGGTGTCATGGATGGCCTCAAGATCGATGATAATCCATCATCGGCTGCCCCAAGAACGTTTATCAACCAATTGCCTGATTGGAGCATGCTCCTTGCTGCTATTACAACTATTTTTTTGGCTGCTGAGAAGCAATGGATGATGCTAGAGTGGAAGACTAAGCGGCCGGACATGCTTTCGGATATGGATCCTTTTGGTTTAGGGAGAATTGTTGAGGATGGTTTTATATTCCGTCAAAACTTTTCTATTAGATCATATGAAATAGGGGCTGATAGAACTGCATCGGTAGAGACGTTAATGAATCATTTGCAGGTATGGTAATATTTACAATCCTACGGATTCCCATAGTTGTTCTTAGTGATGTAGTTTTTTTACGAGAAGCTCAAATATGACGTCATCATGTGTTCATCAGCACGTGTATGCTTTTGCTAAATATCCTTGTGTTGGTTTGACAGGAAACAGCCCTTAATCATGTAAAAAATGCTGGACTCTTGGGTGATGGTTTCGGTTCAACGCCCGAAATGTGCAAGAAGAATCTATTTTGGGTGGTGACAAAGATGCAAGTGCTGGTGGACCGTTATCCGACTTGGTAAGCTATTTATCTATGTGATATTTGACTGTTCACCAACTCTTGCCTTTATGCTTCGTTACTTCTTCTTACTTCAAGTTTGCACTCAAAACCTTTCATTTCATTATCAAGTGCTAACTGATAACGAAATTCAATAGTTCTATGAAAAAACCCTTTTGCTTTATCAGACAGTTAAAACTTGTCATTCTGATTGATGTGTTTTTCAATACTATTTCAGGGGTGATGTGGTTCAAGTAGATACTTGGGTAGCTGCTTCTGGGAAAAATGGAATGCGTCGTGATTGGCTCATTCGTGATTGGAAAACAGGAGAGATACTGACACGAGCTTCAAGGTTGAAACCTCTTTATCAGAATACTCGTGTATTTTTGTTGTTTGGCTTTCAGCTTGCCGACGAGTTATCTTTTGGTAAATATATGTTAATGACTTTTTTGTTTACATCTTACAGTAACTGGGTTATGATGAATAAAGTCACAAGGAGGTTATCAAAAATTCCTGATGAAGTCCGGGCTGAAATTGAGCAATATTTTGTAAACACACCTCCAATCATCGATGATGACAACAGAAAGTTACCAAAACTTGATGAGAACACTGCTGACCATGTTCTTGATGGTTTAACTGTGAGTAAAGTTCCATCTTTCTATTAAGGTTCTATTTACATTTTTAAGCGTCGAAAATTAGGTTTCTTGGTGCTGACATGATCTTTTTGAATCTTTTGTTTCCCATTAATATTAGCCGAAGTGGAGTGATTTGGATGTCAACCTGCATGTCAACAATGTGAAGTATGTTGGCTGGATTCTCGAGGTAAGTCTTATCTTAGTTGGCAAATAGTCTAGTTTAAGTCGTTAACTCTCAAGAATGGAAATTAGTAGGCAATAAGATTTTCAACCGCACCAAAGGGTTATTGGCCCAGCGGTATCTGGGTTCAGTTGTAAATCCTAGCTTGTCTGAAATCTCACTAAAGGTTAGGAGTGTGCGTGTGTATTTTCCATATATATAATATACATAGAGAGAGAGGTGGTTTATTATACCAACCAGCACATATTATTACAAACCATACAAACCAATCTCAACCATCCATCTACTCTAATGAATATGTGGTTTCATACATATCTTGATTGTTTCCTAATATAAAGTGTTGATCATAATTAATGAACTCTAAATCATCTTCCATAAATAACCAGATCATAATAAATGAACCCTCATCATTTCCATAAATATCTCAATTGATTGGTTTGTATAGTTTGTATGAATGACATGGTCTGTATTTGAAACCTCCTCCCTCTCTCTATGTGTGTGTGTATATGTATATATATATATTATACACTTCAAAAAGATTTTCAACCGTGGGATACAAATGTGACCTATGTATCGTAGTTCAGAAAGGCTGCTATACATTCATCAACTTGTAAATCTGTTCGGATTGTACTGCCTTATGTCCCAAGAAGGTTGCAACAAATTCACTTTAGGATTCCCATATTAGTTGGAACATTTTCTTATTTAGCAATATTTCCAAGTAGGGTTGTAACTGAACCAACCCAGACTAGCTTGCAAAGACCAAAAATCTATCTTGGTGTCTGCTCAACTTGTATGGGGCTTGACTCAAATAGGATCAGTTTGTTGGGGTCCATGTAGGCTTGTATAAGCTTGAGACTTGGCTCGATCCTATGTGCTCATATCAAATTACAACTAGAAATTACATGTAAAAACTACCTAAGAGGTTTTAAGGCTAGTGGAGTAAAACAACTAAATCACATCGTGGCTCGTGTAGGATTGGTAGGATTGACCCATTTAAGATTGTCGGGTTGTTGAACTCAGGCCATACACGGCTGAACCTACTCAGGCTCAGAGTCTTCCACTTCTTTGGACAAGTCGGCTCATGACCTCTCATGAGTTGGTTTTGTCTCATTTACACCCATAATTTGAAGTTAAACAAAACCAAACAAGTCTAGTGTATCCCACCCGTGGGATCGGAGGGAGGTAAGATGCATGTAGACCTGACCTCTACCCGAAAGAGTAGAGTGACTTGATGACCATTAGCTGGTGAAAAGAGAGAAATACGTAGACACACTCAAATTTGAAAAGCTTCTCAACCTAGGATCAAGTCTTATCTCCCTAGCTTCCACAACAAATCTGTAATTCTTTGTTTTCAATGAACATACAAAATTAAAAGTGAAAATTTGTTGAGTTTGTATTAACCCCCCCTTCTACAAAACTTTATGTGTTAGTCATTACCATTTCAGGACCAACAATAACAAAAAAGAAAAAGAAAGAGAGAGACAAATATACTAAATTTTGAAAACTAGATATTAGTAATCAAAACATAACCAAGGTGAAAAGGGAGAAATACTTATGCACACCCATAATTTCAAGTTACACTTTACTTATATCCCCATTGTAAGCAGGAACCGTACCAAATGAACCTAGTATATCCACCTGGAGATGGGGTTTGGGGTCTAGGAAGGGTAAGATGTACGTAAACCTGACATCTACCTAGGGGATGTTTGGTTGGTTTTCCATCAAGTCTTGTATGGATAAAGCTGTCTATATGGATTAATCCGTCTGTATAGATTGGGAAGGTTTTTTTGGGGGGTGGGTTTCATAGATGGAAGAGTTTTTTTAATTGGGAGGGACAGGTTTGGAACAAACTTGGCTTAATGAATAAACCACTCTCTATGTCATTAAGCCACTACCAAACAGTCATGTATAGTTGACCGAATAAGTTGCGAGTTCCATTAAGCTCATTAAGCTACTAGTAAACAGGCCCCTAGTATTGTAAGCATAAAATAGTCATCTGTTTCTAAATGCTTACGCATTTACGCACACGTAATCATAATTGCAGAGTGCTCCACAGCCTGTTGTGGAGAACTATGAGCTTGCCAGCATCACTCTAGAGTATCGTCGGGAGTGTATGAAAGACAGTGTGCTGCAGTCGCTCACTTCCATGGTGGGGAATGGCGGTGGCGGGATGGCGGACGTTGATTGCCAGCATCTGCTTCGATTGGCGGGCGGTGGTTCTGAGATTGTGAAGGGAAGGACCAAATGGAGGCCTAAATATGCAAACAGATTCAGGAGCAGCAGCATGGGTCAGTTGGCAACTGAAAGTGGCTGATTATGGTAAGTGGCATTATGGTCATTTTGCTACTTGTGTTCTTGCAATGTTTTGACATCTCATCTATATATATAATATATATATATTCCTTTATATGTTGTAATGTTTTTTTTATTTATAATTTTAATGTTAATTTTAATTATAATTATCCCATTTTAGTTTGAGAATGGAGAAAAGTGTAAGTCGTATTGTAAGTAAGCCTTTCCTGCACAAACTCTCATCTCTCTTTGTGGACTTGCTTATTTCAATGTGGCAATTCTTTATTTATTTACAGTCGTATATTGTTTTTACCTTCTGGTTTATGTATGTGGGAACAAAGGGAATATGAATCATATGTTCTCAAAACTCCACCAATCAACTCTTGACATGTCATCGTTTTTATTGAATAGAATTGAATAAAGAGGGAGTTGGAATTGGAAATATAATAAATAAGAGAAGACAAAAATAATTAGGTTACATGTGATTTTATATTAACAGTCAACACGGAAAGTGTGGTGGCAATGTGGCCTGTGACCTAAGTCGTGAGAAATCATGTATGATTAGACTAGTGATTCTAGTGTAAAATTATGATTCGAACGTTTTCTTATTCTCTCATTTGGTTACTGTTTTCGTATGAATCTGATTTATTGAATAAATGTATATTAAATAAAGTAATGATATGTCAGGGGTTGATTAGAGTTTATTGGACATGTGAATTAAAGTATCGAACTTGTATCAGGGTTTTTTTTTTTTTTTTTTAATCATGTGTGGATTGAAATGGTCTGAGAGACTGCTACTCAGGAACCAAAGGATTATTGATCGATCTAGGGGTAATGGTGCTAACCTTTCTGAAGGTTAAAGGTTCAAGCCCCACCTTTGATGAGGAGGGTGCTAACCTTTTTGAAGGTCAAGGGCTCAAGCCCCACCTTTAATGAGGAGGATGCTAACCGTTCTGAAAATCAAGGGTTCAAGCCCCACCTTGAGATTGTTAAATACATGGCTTTGCCCGTTCGATGCAGTTATCTTTTCGTCTTTTCAGATTGTCGTATTTTGTCATTATTCTTTGTAACAAACACCAAATATGATGGTGTTTCATGTTTACATTCTCATAACTTGGTTTTGTTTCTTTTCCATGGTTTCAAACTGAAATTGGAAGTATAGCTTCTTAACTTAAATAGCCATTCCACATTTGGAATTTATCGATACGTTTGCTTGCAAATAATGCTTACAATACACGAGGTGCAATCATCGGAGCATTAATGTACCAGATCCCATCAAAACTTTATAATAATTGGAATATAATATACATCATAAAGAAACTTGGACATGGTGTTCAAGTTAGCAAATCAATTTCATAAGAGTGATGTTATGATAACTTGTATATTTGAAATTGAGAAAGATGGAAAAAGGGGCAACTACAAAAAAAACTTAGGTTGGTTTTAAGTCATGCTTGATAGCTTAACCAACACCCAACAATATTCTAACAATAAAAAAGTTTGTGTTGGTGTGCATTTAAGTATTAGGTCATCCAATTTCAATGTCTGAATTTCCTTTCACATGATTTCAAAATATAATTCAGTCATTAAAATTGACTCCAATTATTTGGATGCGATTGACGCCTCGAAATGGTTTGCAGAAAAAAAGCTTTCTAGGTTTGTCTTCTCTCTCCGTAACAAAGCAAGCCCTAATTCTTTTTCATCTCCTCAGGGAAGACCAATTATAAGCTCCCCCATCGTCCATTCGAAGGGCGTTGACTTTCATTATCAGGGTATTTTCAAGGGGTGAAAAGTGCATATGAGGTTTTTATACTGAATTTGTTGGTCCTAATTTGTCTTTAAACCCATTACCATAACCAAGCATAATTGAAAGAAAAAAGAAGCGTTTTTTGATGTGATCTAATTTGAGCAGATATTTTTTTTTCATATTTTTAGCGATTTTTAATCTTTACCTAATCAAAAACTACGATGACCAAAATCATAAAATTGATTTTGATATTCTCTTTTACATTTTTCATTACATTTCTATTTAAAAATAATAATAAAGATATATAGTTTATATTAAATAATGAATTATTTATATATATACTTTCTAATTTCTTAAAAAAAAGGTGAAAATGAGTAAAAAGACTAAAATATATCCTAATTTAGTAGAGATTTTTTTTTAATTATAAACCATATAACTTTATTAGTTTTTTAAATATAAACTATATAACTTTATTAGTTTTTAAATATAAATGAATTAAAATTGTAAAAGGAGCAAAACTTCCTTGATTTTAACTAGAGTAACCATTAGTAGAGTTAGAACAACGGATCTAATCTGTAACCAAAGCGAAACCATGGTGAATAATTATAGACGTAATTATTTCATTTAAGGGACCCTATCCATAATTCCGATATAACCACAGGGACGAAAGATGTACTCCATTTTTTCTAATTAACTTGGATATCCAACCCGCTATGCGAGCCGACTAATCCCAGGACGACCACCTGTTTTACAGATAGATCGGAGTCACCGTATTTGAACCTCCGTAGCCAGAAGGGGTTTTTTATTCCTCCTTGGATTTGAACCTGTGACCTCCTGGTAGGGGTGCTTAAAAACAAGACCAAGTCAACCCAACCCAACGCAAAATAACCTAACCCGAAGCAACCCGATATCTAATCAAGTAGTAAAATTATCAAACCGTAGGTATTGGATTGATATTGAGTTACTATTATTTGAACCCAACCCAACCCGATGAACCCAATGTCCTTTTATTTCTTGGATTTAATATGATTGTTGAATTTCTATTAATATATACATTAGACAATTACACTATCATGTATGCTTTTCATATACACATATTTTCAATCTATTCATATCTCTATATAACTCATTCAGTAACTGTAAACATATATATGTAAATTGAGAAAATTAACTGAATGTGATATACATAAGAAATATGAATAAGTTGTATCAAATGGTTGATGATGAAAAAGAATTTATGAGTAGAGAAATAACATATTCAAGGTTAGAAGAATATTTTAATATACCAAAGTATCAACCCGACTAACCCGACCAACCCGTACGGGTTGGGTTGGGTTAAGATTTTTCCAAACCGCAAGCATTGGGTTGGTTTGTTCAAATGTCCTCAACCCGATCAACCCAACCCATGAGCACCCCTACCTCTTGGTACTTTTGACCTTTGGAACTAAGCTCAAACCAATCAGGCACCACCTTGTGGTTTCTGCACTCCATTTTATAAGACAGAATAGATGGTTTGAAGCCATTTCAAATGATTTGGGGACTTTTATACCTTGAAGCCAAAATTCAAATCAATGGTGATTGGTGATTATTGATGAGAATTTGCCATAGGTTTCAGAATGAAGGATACAACATGAATTGCAGGCACTATTTGACAGAATTTTAAAAGGGTAAAAATTGTGCTGTCAACTCACATGATTTTACTTCATATGCCAGCTTCAGAAGATGTATAAGCAGATGAAGGAGGTCAACATTGAAGTCAACAATATTGATACAAGGTTCACACCATTGTTGTCCAGAATTCTCAGACCCGAGATCCGCTTCACCGTTGGTCCTGGTTTCGATACAACCTGACCACAAGCAAAAATGATTACGTAAACAAATGTCTTGAAATTTGGGACCAATTGTAAGTAGAAGATCTTGCAAGCTGAGGATCTTCACGGAAACAACATTTTGTTTTCCATTAAGTCCTGTATGGATAAAGCTAAAGTTGTTTGTGTGGACTAATATGTATGTATAGATTGAGTATGTTTTTGTTTGGGGATGGAAAGTTTTTTCATAAATGGAAAAAAACATATTTTTTTAATTGGGAGGGGTAGGTTTGGGAAAAATTGGCTTTCTGCATAAAGCTTCAGTAGGAACTTACTAAATAAGCCACTTTCTACATCACTAAGCTACTACCAAGCAGTCTTATATAGCTGCCTGAATAAGCTGAGTCCCATCAAACAGACCCTAAGTCCTATATGGATAAAACTGTAAGTGTGGATAAATCTGTCTGTATAGACTGAGAAAGTTTTTGGTTGGGAAAGTTTTTTTTATAGATGGAAGAAGAGTGTTTTTTAATTTGAAGGGACAGGTTTGGGAAAAAAAACTTGGTTTTTTTGCATAAAGCACCTCCTAAAAGCTCACTGAATAAGCCACTACCAAATAATCATGTATAGTTGACCGAATAAGTTGTGAGTCTCATGGAACTCATTAAGCTGCTAACAAACAAGCCCTTAAGGTTATTTACCTAAATATCTCCCACTAGACCTTATCTCAGTGTGGGATATACTAGGTTTGTTTGGCTCGGTTTGGTTTTCTAAGTGCATGATATGTATATGCCAAGGTTTGGAAGTTCTAAACGTTTGAGGATACATAGGTGCATCAACATATTTGTCAATAAGCGGTCAGTTAGGTATATATAACTTTAAATGAGATTTTAATCAAATCTATGACCTCCTGGCTTTTTAAAGAAAAAAAGGGTTCATGGATTTAAATAAAATACCATTTAAGGTTATATACCTAAATAGAGGACAAATCAAATAGAAACCATAGAAAGGTTACAAACTATACAAACTAATCTCAAACGTCCATCTACTCTAACGAATATTCAGTTTCATAAATATATCAATTGTGTCCTGATATAAAGCGTAACTCATAATTAATTAACTCTAATCATCTTCCATAAGTATTCAAATCATAATAAATGAACTTCATCATTTCCATAAATATCTTAATTGATTGGTTTGTAATTTTTCCATGGTTTGTATTTTGATTGTCGTCTACCTAAATATACCTATTACATACACTATAAAACCAAACCGAACCAAACAAGCCCAGTATATCGTATATCCCACTTGGAGGTGGGTGAGATGTAAGCGGACATGACCTCTACCCAAAGAGTAAAGCAGTTGTTTCGGTGAAGACCTTGGGCTGTGAAAAGTGTGCGAAAAAGAGAGTTCAGGTCTATGTTCTTAGAACAATATATCCGGTCAAATGTTGCAATTATCATAGGCAGGATGGAGTTTCTAGACTCCTATTCACTTTTTGTGCCAAGCTATGCTGTTAATCGCACCATTATAGTGGTGCTATCACGTAGCGGTCATGGGAGAAATAGCGGTGGTCAAATAGCGGTCCCATGATTATCGGTGCCATTGACCACATTTTGAACACAAAAAAGCATCCGCATAACCGCCATTTTTCATGGGCTGTTTTGGTGTTAAAAAAGTAACTTTGTGGCTTTTATTTAGGACTTGCATCCAGTTTTATTTTAGTTCAACAACATCCACGCTTCATTACTCTTATTTCTTTGGACTAGAGCACCATTATTTTTTATTTTTTTTGAACTTGGACACCATTATTCTTATTTTTTTGGATTTGCACATCATTATTCTTATATAATTATTCTTAGGGTTGGGTTCCAGTGAGAATGGAAGCTATGGTGACAAGGGTAAGAAGGGATCTCTACTTTTGGATCAGTCGTAATTGAAGATCAACACTAATGAGATGCACCGAGATGCACCCGATCAATTCCCATGATAAGTGATTTATGGGATGGGGGTGAGATGAAAAGTGATCAAGGGTCCAAATCCCTTTTTATGCTTCTCACGTTAACTTCTATTCTCACACGATCCTTAGTCTGTGGAGTTACGTATGCATATATAGATCTAATTATTATATGAAACCGCTATTTTTTGACCACTATACCACCGCTTTACCATCGGAATAACTGCTATTTCAAATCACGGTCCTGACCGCACTTTCATATTTTGAACGCTGTAACTAGGTGCCAAGTGAAAGAAATTTGAGTGGAGGGAGTACCTTATTACGGACACTACAGAATCCGCTAAATTGCAGAGTTGCTCCTAGAAGGGAATCAATTAGACTTCCTGCAAGTCCTGCTAGAGTTGAAAGAGGTATCACGAGTAATTGTTTCAAGAACACATCATTTGTGCAACTTGTTGAGAAAAGTCCAGGTAAAACAAATGCTAGTCCAATGACACTTCCTGCTGCTGCAGCTGCTAGAAGACCGGCTTTTGTTATACCACCATTTGTACCCCTACGAACAGGCTGTTAAACAAGAACAAGAAAAGATAAATTCATCCAAATTCCGAAATATAACCGAAGATTATAATGTGCACATGTCTTTATGAATGCAACTGTAGGGCCCGTTTCGTTTGGGATTTGATGGGATTTGGAATTGGATTCCATTCCAATCCCGCGTTTGGTTTAGAGTAGAGTCTGGAACTGAAATCCCACAAACATGGGATTTAGGAAAATCCCATAGGGGTAGTTGGTTGCAGGATTTCATAGGATTTGTTTGTAATAATGTTTTAAAATTTGTTAAAATAAACTTGTTTTGTAATAATCAATTAATAAAAAGGCAATTAATTATTTTTTGTTTTTATAAATTATTCATAAAGAATGGAATCCAATTCCTTTCCAAATCCTACAAACCAAACACAACAAAGATTCCAAATCCTCACAATTCTAGATCCTTCCACGTAATCCAAATCCCTCAAAAACATTTCGTCAGACCAAATGGGTTCTTAGAGGTTGACCCTTGGAACAATTTGTAAAATTACTCTTTTGAGGAAGGAAGGTAAGGGGGTTACAGTCATGGACAAAGCCTCTTTGCAAATTGCAAGGGAAACACCGTGTAATAAAGACTTTGGATCAATGACCTCAAATAAGTTTTCAATTAGGAGTGTGGCCTTTTAAACTTCTTTTTAGCTCTTTCAAACTTTTTTTAGCTCTTCTGAACTTTTTTTAGCTCAATGGCCTTCATCTGACCAAGTTCAAAACAGTATAAAAAGTTAGAAATACACGAGAGGGTCATTTTACAAAACGAGCTTCTGGAGGTCATTGAGCTAAATAGCCATAATTGGTGGAATGCACAAAGAGATTAGCTTATTGGAGAAATGCACAAAGATTCATTCGACTACAAGAGGTCTTCTGAAAACATATTTAAATGGAAATCTTGTAGACTAATATTAATTTAGATATGGAGTTGCTGAGATGCATTTACATCGACTCTCGAGTTTAACAATGGAAGACAGTAGCAGATAATTCATGCTAACATGATTGAATGTGAAATACCAATGCAAATTGCTGTAGGTTGGTGGTGGTTACCAATATTACAAGCAAAACACCGACCAAAATCGTAAGATGCTATTAAGTGCAAGTAGCTAATACATATGGTGAATGTATTAAAGCATTATATTAAAAAAGAACGGGAAAGAGCATCAGTCTGCATCATGAAAGCACAAAAAGTTCTCACCTTAAACGTAGTGATTAGCCGTGGTTGTGCATCACTTAGTACCCCAAGCTCAGAGGACCAAGTGTCTCCATTACAACATGAGTAATGACCAATCAGGCCACCAACAAGAGATGTTATGAGATATGATTCTTTTGAGTTCAAACATGTATCCTGTGATCCTGTCAAATTCCAGAATGCTACAACTAAGACGGTAGCAATTCCACTGTTGGATAGAACTTGTATCCTGTACAGAGACAAGGGACACACGAATGAGGAAGGTAAGCAATTATTGTGAAAGGACATAAAGGGATAAAGGTTAAGGTTACTTGGTTCTAAGATGGGTTAGTTCAACATCCAGATAGAATGGTGCAATGTGTAGTAATACCCAATATCACATAGGTAAAATTATTTCCACACAATGAAGAACAACTTTACACTGAGCAGATTTATGATACGAAATATAACCAATTTCCTACTTATCTCTGTTAGAAATCAATAGTTTCTTGATCATAAACGACTAAATAAATCAATCGTATCACGTAAAGTTCGCTTTCCAAATACACTAATTCGACCCCATATACCTTGGCTGTCAATAACTGAGTGTTGGTATAATCCAATGATTGCTTTGATTTTAAAGGCTGTAAAATCCAGTTCCATATATACACCCAGACTCCACATTTTATATATTTATATGAGAGATCGATGGTTATAGGTTAGTTAGGCAGTTTTGATAACTGCACAACATTTATGAGGTTACGGCCTGTGGCTATGATCAAACATGGATCAGAAGACATTCAGAAGCAGAAGCTTCTGACTATGAAGTCAGAAGATTCTGAGTTAGTCTTCATAGATTTCTGAACTTATTTAAGAAGGCTTCTTGCCTTCTGAAACACACTTAGAATGTCCAGAAATTCAGATTCCACATGCACTTCCCCTTCTAAAATCTGTAGAGGTTTAGGGACCCCCACCTTATGGCGAGCTAAAGTGAGAGAGGAAACGTTTATGAGTGTGCACTCCACACCTCCTTACTCACGTTATGCTAGCCTTATCACCTAGTCGATCCCATGAGAATCAGTTCTACACCAAAACTCTTGATGACAGTAAAATCACCAAGAAGGCTTTAGACTGTCACAATTGCAACTGGAGTCAATGATGCAGATACCATAATAAAAGCCTATTTAGATGACTATGCACTTATGAACCCCCTTCTGGTGCCAGACTTTTCAACTTAGATAAAAATAAAAATAAAAATAAAAATAAAAATAAAAATAAAAATAAAAATAAAAATTCCTTCATTTGATACAAACATTTTATATTCTTCTCTAGCAAATTTTCAGAAAGGTTCTTCATAAATGCATAAGAAACCTCATTGTTTGCTAATACCAGAAGTCAACTGACAATTCTAAATTTAATTTTGACTAAAACAAACCCCATATATCTTTATCTAGTAGTTATACCAAGAGATGCCGATTAAAACAGCATCAGAAATTTAATGGCTGCATAACACTTATGTGTTCACATTTCCTTTTTAACTTTTAAGCACCTAGTGAGGATTTCAAACAAACTTAAAGGTATTCCCCTTTCTTGAATTGATTGCTGCAATAAGTGAAACAGACCCCAAACAAGGAAACAGATGGTTTCATATAGTTTCTCATATGAATTTGCTCTTCAGAACTGACGATATTTATATCAACCATGAGCATTTTATTGTTCCATGGTTCCTAACAACCAACAGATATAGTTGCATAAGCAATAGCTTTCAGAACACATATAGTAAGAGACTTTAAACATCTCAAATAATTTCGTAAAAAAAGATGTGTACTAATACATTATGAAACTACTATCCAAATTCCAAACACAGTTCTGCATTTTCAGATTGCTGAAATTACGACTCTACTTTCTACCAGTTAACATGTTAACCTCAACCAGCAACACAGTCAACAAACAAGACTTCATCCGTGTTCATAATCCAAGTTAACACTGAACACCTTTGTTATTAGTCATATCACAGTAAAGAAAACTCGCCCAATATAAGAATTAAACGAAGAATCATTACCAATTTCGTTGACCTCCTTCTTTGAAATCAGCATCAAAACTCCGCTTCCTATCCTCCCCCATTTTAGTAAGCTTCGACGATGAAAAGAAGAAGGCTAACAACATCGCTCCAAACCTACCAAAAACAATAAAATTAAATACACACACACACACACACACAGAGACATATACAAACCAACAAATACTACTACATTGAAATCAAATTATTAACCTGTAATTGACGGAGAGATGAACAACCATAACAAAGAACCCGGCGAATGCGCCGGAAACATCTAGAGAGTTCTTCCTGTAAGCTCTAAAGGCGATGAAAAACGAGATTAAAACTGCGATTATGACTTGATTGTCCATTTCTTTCTGAATTGAACTTGAACTACAACAGCAGACGAATCATAAACCTAAATCGTTGAGATGGAATCGATTTTGTTCATATGCAACCAATTGGAGATTGGAGTACGGGTAGTCAACAAAAGCTCATGACAGAAGTCCAACTGATCATGCCAATTCAATTCATTTTCTTGTGTGCAATTCATTTTCCCTTTTTTTATATTTAAATAATTAAATATTTTTGCAATTTGTTAGAAAGTTGTTACAACACTTTCAACAAATTCTTTATAATTTTTTTTAAAGATAAATTACATGAAAAATTAACCTACTTTAACTTGATTCTTATTTTAGGTAACGTACTTTGAAAACTTTTATTTTGATATCTAAGATGTAAAGTTTTAAACATTTAAGTACCCGGATAACCGGTTGAAGCATTAATCGGTGACCATGTTGATGTGACGATTGATGTGGTATTCGGTTAATGCTTCAGCAAATAATATTGAGTTGATACCACATCACTGGCCACATCAGCATGGTAACTGATTAATGCTTCAACCGGTTACCTAAGTACTCAAATGTTTAAAACTTTACATCTTAGATACCAAAATTGAAGTTTTGTAAGTATGTTAGGGGCTGTTTGGCAGTTGCTGAATGTGTTGTCGAAGAGGTGGGAGAGTCTCAGTCCGTGTTCAATGCCTGCTTGACTAACTCAAAAGGTTTGGTGCAGAATGGTTAAATGGTCAGAATGATTAAGAGACTCTAATGATATAGTACAAAATAAAATATAATTGTTTGGTAATTGTTTACAACGAAATTAGGGCGCTTAATGGTCAAGGGAGACCAGAATACAAAATCATTTAGAGAATTTTAAAACCATCGAGAGACATACTTTTTTTTGGTCAAACAAGATTCACTTCTTAACGATTCAGAGACTGTCTCTTAATAGAACTATTAAGAGCTAAACAAACAACCTTTTACCCAAAATAGGAATCAAGTTAAAGTACCTTATTTTTTCATGTAATTTGTCCTTTTTCTAAAATAAAGAATTAAAAGTCAAAAACGCTAAACAAAAAGTTGATTTTTTCAATTTCACATTTCCAACAGATTTTTTAAAGTTTTTTTTTTAAATGGAGAACCAAACTATAAAATCTGTAGATTAAAGTTTTTTTGATTAACCTGGATATCCATACCACTATGCTAGCCGACTAATCCCAGGGCGACTACCTGCTTTGCAGATAGCCCGGAGTCACCGCATTTGAACCTCCGTGGCCACAAGGGGATTTTTATTCCTCCTTGGATTTGAACCTGGGACCTCCAGGTACTTTTGATCTTTGGAGGCAAAATCAAACCAATCAGACACCACGCTTATGGTTAAAAATTAAAATTGCATTCAATTCCAATAGATTCTTTATTTTGGAGATTGCATCATTTATAATATTATTAAAATATTTCATATATTTAATTAAATAGTGTTTCTCTCTCATAAATATTTCTTTTCAACGTTACTTATTGCTGAAATATAATAAAGAAAACAATTTTATCTCTCGTGGTCATTATTTTTGGAGAGATATCCAAATTTGAAAAGTTTTACGTTATTGCTCCTACTTTCTCCATTTTAGAGCAAAAAAAATGTACAAAAAAACCCTCTTGTGGCCATGGAAGTTCATATGCGATGATTTCGGGCTACCCGCAAAGTGGGTGGTCATTCTGGGATTAGTCGGCTCGCATAGCGGGTTAGATATTCAAGTTAATTTAAAAAAATTGTACAAAATCTTTATTTTCTCCATTTTGAAAAAATTGTTGGAGATGCTCTAAACATTTAAGTACTCAGGTAACCGGTTACCATGTTGAATCCATGGATCAAATATGAGAATAGAAGTTCCATTTTCTTTATTGTAAAGAATACGTTGGAGATTTAATTCATTTAGATTAGTATTACTGGACTATCTCTAACTTTTAATTAGATTATATTACGAGGTTCGGTTCAGATAAGTAGGCTAAATATCATGAGAAGACAAAAAAAGAGAAAGTTAAAGAAAAGGTAAAAATCTACTTGAAGTTGTATATGTAAACCAATGTTACAGATTATTCATATGGGTTTACATATCCACTGTTAAATGGATTTTTCATTTATTCACATATGAATCACCCATTTTATCTTCTTACGATATTTAACTTTTTTATTTGAATTTTCAGTATAACATGAATATACTATTTTGATAACTTATATTTATTTGTCCATATTTTTTACTTTTGAGTCTCTCCTAAAAAGGGATCCACTTAAAAAATAAAGTGTCTTTACCTTTAATTACAGGGCAAATTGCATGAAAAAGTAACGTAGTTTAATGTGATTTCTATTTTGGATAACGTACTTACAAAATTTCCATTTTGGTACCTGAGATGTAATGTTTTAAACATTTTAGTACCCGGGTAACTGGTTGAAGCATTAATCAATTACCATGTTGATGTGGCGAGTGATGTGGTATCTGGTTAATGCTTGAACAAAAAATACTGAGTTGATATCATATCACTCGCCACATCTGCATGGTAACCGGTTAATGCTTCAACCAATTATCCGGGTACTTAAATGTTTAAAAATTTACATCTTAGGCAACAAAATGGAAGTTTTAAAATACGTTATTTAAAATAAGAATCAAGTTAAAATACGTTATTTTTTCATGCAATTTATCCCAAGATTTTGCATTCTATCATAATGCTTATGTTCCAACTCTATCCATTGCATGCTGAGTGACTTTGAATAAGAGTTAAATTTGCATATTGAGTGACTTTAAATAAGAGTTTAAGTAATGATAGTGTATTTTACATTTGGTGGAATTGAAATATATTAAAGTAATTTGACTTTGAAGGGATTAGAATGAAATCTGACCACGTGTTTGGTTGATAGGAATTGGAACGGAATCTCCATCTTTATTTGGACCACCCACCTTCTCCCCCACTCACCCCACCTAAACCGACCGCCATGCAACTATTATCGTCGTCATAACTATCACCCACCCCCGCTCATTCGTCGTCCCTCGCTGCCCCCACCATCATGCCACTACTATTGTCATCACAGCTACAACCCCCACCCAGCCTACCCCACCCCGCTCACTATTGTCATTGTCACAGCTACCCAGACACTACCCACCAATGTGGTTGCCGAGGGGTGGAACGAGGAATAGGCATAGTGAGGGCAGGAGTGGAGTAGAGGTTCGGTAGGTGGCAACAAGGTGAGGTGGTAGTTGTGACGACGACAATAGTGGTAAGTAGTGGATGGTGTGAGTGGCGGTTGTGACGACAACAGTAGCAGTGTGGTAGAGGGTTAGGATATGGGCGTGATAGTGACAATAGTAACATGGTCGTTTTAGGGATGTGGAGTGGGTGACGGGGCAGGGTGGTGTGATGACAACAGTAGTGATATGATGGTGGGGGGTCAGGGGTGGGGCGTGACGGTAATAGTAATAGCATGGTCATGGTGAGGACAAGGGTGAGTGGTAATGGAATTTATTAGAATAGAGCTTGACAGTTGGCAACATATGTATCCTAAATTGTATCTTTATATTTATTGTAATTAGCACAATCATAGACAGAATGATAGGAAACCCATTTAATGTAATTACTATATAATTGTTGTGAATTATGGAATGAAGGGGGCGACAATATTCTGTCAATATCTTACATGGTATCAAAGCTCCTTCCCTTATTCTATCGATCCTTTCCCCCCTGTTCCTCTTCTCGCCGGCCAGCCATCTTTCTGTTTTCTCCGCCACCATGGACCCAAAAACCCACCCCGCTATTACCGTCTCGAACATCAAAACCTTCATTCCAATTACCCTCGAGATGGAAACTAGTCAATACTCATCCTGGGCGGAATTATTCAAGATACATTGCCGTGCGTTCCAGGTTCTTGATCACCTCTCTCCCCGTCAAAAAGAACGCCCCGCTGCTGCCTCCTCCGAAGCTGACAAACAAAAATCCACGGACCTAACCGATGCTGTGTGGGATCGTATGGATGCCATAGTCCTTCAATGGATCTATGGCACAATCTCTAATGACCTTTTGAGCACTATTATACGACCCGATTCCACAGCATGTTACGCTTGGACGGCCTTGAAAAGTATCTTCCATGACAACCAAGCAACTCGAGCCGTGTTATTACAAAAGAAGTTTGCAAACCTCCGCCTTGACTCCTTCCAAACCATGTCTGCATACTGTCAAGAGGTGAAGGTTATCTCGGATCAATTGGCCAACGTCGGTTCTCCCGTCACCGAAAATAATCTGGTCATACAACTTCTTTCTGGTCTCACAGAAGCATACGGTAGTGTGGGTGCCATCCTACAAAACACCAAGCCTTTTCCAACTTTTTACGAAGCGCACTCTCAATTGATCCTTGAAGAAACAACCAAAGCCAACCGTGTCGCGAATGACACCGCCCTCCACACCTCCACTCCCACTTCTCAACCACAAACCAACCCGCCTATATCCACCTCTCCACCATCGGCTCAATTCTCAAACCGTGGTGGTCGAGGCCGTGGGCGCGGCCGCGGCCGTGGAAGGACCACTTCCGTACCCCCCTGGACACACTATCCTTGGTCAAACCAACCCACTGCCAGCCCAAACCGCAACAGCCCCTGGCCCAACCCAACAGGCTACTTCTGGCCCGCACCACCTTGTCCTTATCCCACTATCCCTCAATCTCGGCCCATGACTTCCAACCCACAACAAGGACTTCTCGGTCCACGCCCTCAACAGGCCTACACAGCTTCGGACCAAACATACCTCCCAACCGCTCTTGATCAAGCATTCAACGCCTTTACACTTCATCCACCCGATCAAAATTGGTATATGGATACGGGCGCCACAGGTATAATGACTAATAACCTTACTAATCTCACTTCTCGTTTCAATATTGTGCATACACGAAGCATTATCGTCAGTGATGGCAAAAATATTCCAGTTCATGCGATTGGAAATCACACCCTTCCACCACCTTTTCCCAACTTCAAATTAAACAACATTCTTTTTGCACCACAACTCGTTAAAAACTTAATTTCGGTCCGACGTTTCACCACCGACAACAATGTTTCAATCGAATTTGATCCGTTTGGTTTTGATGTAAAGGATCTTCGCACCCGGAAGCCCCTCCTTCGATGTGATAGTGACGGTGACCTCTACCCACTAACACTCCCTTCAAGATTCCAAGTTCAAAATTTTCATGCTCCGGTTTCTTCCTTCTTAGCAGTGACCCAAGACACTTGGCACCGACGTCTTGGACATCCCGGAAACAACATTTTGCACTATTTAAAACCTAGCTTGCATTTATATTCCAATAATGTTAACCATTCTCAGATTTGTGAACCTTGTGTGTTTGGCAAACAAATTAAATTTCCCTTTTCTGATTCCAATGCTTGCACCGCATTACCATTCGACATAGTGCATAGCGATTTATGGACCTCCCCGGTTCTCTCTTCTACCGGGTGTCGCTATTATGTCCTATTTTTAGATGATAAAACTAATTTTTTATGGACATATGCTCTCGCCTCCAAATCTCAAGTTTTTTCTAAATTTCTAGAATTTCATAAATTAATTAGCACCCAATTTCAAACAACCATAAAATGTTTCCAATGCGATAATGGACGTGAGTACAACAACACCTCATTTCATAATTTTTGCACCTCGAATGGCATGACATTCCGTTTTTCATGTCCATACACATCCGCTCAAAACGGTAAATTGGAGCGCAAAATACGGTCCATCAACAACATAATGCGAACCATTTTATCTCAATCCTCCGTTCCTCACAATTTTTGGCACCATGCTCTAGCACATGCAACCTATCTCTTAAATATCTTACCCACCAAAGTTCTTCACAACTCCACACCCATGTTTTGTCTTTACAATCGCCACCCATCATACGATCATTTACGCGTTTTCGGTTGCCTTTGTTACCCACTTCTCCCCTCTACTACCATCCATAAACTCGCGGACCGCTCAACTCCGTGCGTTTTCCTTGGCTACCCTTCAAATCAYCGGGGCTACAWATGTTATAACATCAAAACCAAACAAATACACATCTCTCGCRACGTCGTCTTTGATGAAACCATCTTTCCTTTCGCCACTCAATCCTACACCCCCTCATCTTATGAATTTCTCACTTCTACTCCTTACCCATTTATTTGGTCCTCTTCTCCTACTCAAAACACTCCAACCCACGTTTCCACTTCTGCCTCCGACGCTACCCCACCCAATTCCCCACTCACAACCTCATCTCCTTCCACTAGTCAAACAACCAACTCAGCCCCATCCCCTACTACACCGCCTAACCCACCATCACCCACTGTAGCACCCCAACCGGCCCAACAAACCCGTACCATACACACCCGGTCAATGTCCGGTATTTTTAAGCCCAAACGACATTTTAACCTTCACACCTCTACTCCTCCCATATCTCCATTACCCAAATCACCAACCGAAGCCCTTTCTAATCCGCACTGGAAAAATGCCATGACCGATGAGTTTCGGGCACTTATTGATAACAGGACTTGGGAATTAGTGCCAAAACAGCCCGGTATGAATATTGTTCGGAATATGTGGATTTTTAGGCACAAAAAGAAAGCGGACGGGACTCTTGAAAGGTACAAGGCTCGGTTAGTTTGTGATGGCCGATCTCAACAAGTCGGAGTTGATTGCGGGGAAACTTTTAGCCCCGTTGTTAAACCGGCTACAATCAGAACCGTTCTATCTTTGGCATTGTCCAAATCATGGCCAATACATCAACTTGATGTCAAAAACGCTTTTCTCCATGGCCACCTAAATGAAACGGTTTTCATGCACCAACCTATGGGTTTCCGAGATCCGAATTATCTGAATCATGTGTGCCTCCTCAAAAAGTCGCTCTACGGTCTTAAACAAGCACCAAGGGCATGGTACCAACGGTTTGCCGATTTCGTTTCTAAGATGGGTTTTCACCATAGCCAATGCGACCATTCCTTATTCATCTTCAAACAAGGAACACATATGGCTTTCATTTTATTATATGTGGATGACATTCTCTTGATCACCTCCACGGATAGTTTACGTGACCGATTCATGGCCCTTCTCTCTAAAGAATTCGCCATGACTGATCTCGGACCACTTAGTTCCTTTCTCGGAATTTCCGTCACAAGAACCAAAAATTCTCTCTTTCTTTCACAAGAGAAATATGCTCGGGAAATTCTTGAACGAGCCGGCCTCACGGATTGCAACCCGGCTACCACCCCTGTTGATACGCAAAATAAATTAAGTGGCACTCATGGTACTCCCGTAGAAAGCATCACCGAATACCGAAGCTTCGCCGGAGCCTTACAATATCTCACCTTTACACGACCCGATATCTCCTACGCGGTCCAACAAGTATGTCTTCATATGCATGATCCAAAGACTACTCATTTTAATGCTCTAAAAAGGATTCTGTGATATATAAAAGGCACCATCACATATGGCTTACACCTTCAACCGCCCCCAACTTCTTCTCTCGTAGCCTTTACGGACGCGGATTGGGGAGGGTGTCCGGACACCCGCCGGTCAACCTCCGGGTATTGCGTATACATGGGTGACAATTTACTTTCATGGTCCTCGAAACGCCAACCCACTTTGTCCCGATCAAGCGCCGAGGCGAAATACCGGGGCGTCACAAATGTAGTTTCCGAAGTATGTTGGCTCCGAAATTTACTACTTGAACTACATCATCCGCTTGACCGAGCAACATTGGTTTACTGTGATAATGTTAGCGCCATCTACTTAGCCGGTAATCCAGTCCAACACCAACGTACAAAGCACATCGAAATGGACATACATTTCGTTCGCGAGAAGGTCACCAAAGGTCATGTTCGGGTTTTACATGTTCCCTCACGATATCAAATAGCCGACATTTTCACCAAAGGTTTGCCAAAGGTTCTATTCGACGATTTTCGTAACAGTCTCAACATCCGCGATCCTCCCGTTTCGACTGCGGGGGAATATTAGAATAGAGCTTGACAGTTGGCAACATATGTATCCTAAATTGTATCTTTATATTTATTGTAATTAGCACAATCATAGGCAGAATGATAGGAAACCCATTTAATGTAATTACTATATAATTGTTGTGAATTATGGAATGAAGGGGGCGACAATATTCTGTCAATATCTTACAGAATTCAATTCCTCACTTATGCCAAGTAATGACCAATTCTTTAATTTGCAGAACTCAAAGAAATTCAAATGATTCCATCCATTTCAACACGTGAACCAAACAAAAGAATTGAAATTTGGTCAAAGAAACTAATCATTCCAATTCTTTTGAATTCTTTTAAAGTCTACGAAAAGCAGCACCTTGTTGTCTTTGGCTTGTAGAATTTGGAATGAAATTGAATTCCATATTTTATTGATGATGTATAAAAAACAAACTATAAATAATTAAATTACTTCTTATTAATTGATTATTACAAAACGAATGTTATTAACATACTTTATAACATTATCACAAACAAATTCTTTTAAATCCCGCAAAATTACCAACTACCCGTGAAATTTCCAAATCCAATGTCGGATTTCATTGAAATCTCAAGATCCCGGACATTCCTTCTAACCAAACTCGAGATTGGAATGAAATCAAATTCTAAATCCCACAAAATCCTAAAAACCAAACGGGCCCTTAGATCTTGAATGGATCTCAATAACACCAAATGGGAGATAACACTAAATTCGAAAAAACGAAGCGGCACATTAAAGGAAGTCCGAGAAATCAAATGCCATGCATCCCACATGTAAAAAAAACACCACAGTACGTATGGGACCCACTCATACGACTACAACATACCAATCAGATTTGTTCGTTTATTCCAAACAAAGCCACCAATAAGAGAAGAAACAGCCTATCATTTACAGAAGATAATTGAACCACATCAGCAAGAGCAAAGTGTTTTAAGACTCTAAGTTGCTAGTATATACAACCAGGTTCATTTTCACCTATTGTACAAGTTTTCTAGCACAAAGTACAAGGTTTTATGCTTCCATTTCAGAATGGTTCAAAAAAGGGTAGGGAAGCAAACTAACATTCTTTCTCTTGGTCGATATCGGCGACCTCCGGTTGAACTGAACTCGTATTCTGTGTTATATCTTCGGCAAAATTTCAATGTTTCCGTGCCTGAATGTGAGAGAAAAAAGATTAAGTGAAAAGGGTGAGCAAGAAGTTGTATAAAAATTCCCTCCCTAAAAAGTGTGTTTTAAATGTATGACCTTCTGGCAGGTTTCTAAGCATTATTGTATATGAAAGTAACATTCTTTTCTTAAGCAGTGGCATTCTCAAATCTGTAAGAAGATCACGGATTTAAAAGATGAATGAAAAGGGTAAGCAAGAAATCAAAGAACTTGTAGAAATGTTACTAAAAAAACTTGCAAAAAGTAAGTGATTTTTAAATTCATGACCTTCTAACAAGTTTCTAGGCTTTCTTGTGTATGAAAGTGGCATTCTTCTGTTAATCAGTGACGATTTTAAATACGTCCGAAAGTCATGGATTTAAACGAGATCTGAGAGAAGGTCATGGATTTAAAAGAAAAGATAGAAATGACAAAGGTACTCAAAGAAAACCAAATAACCAGTAAGAAATTTGCTCAAAGAACCTGCAAAAAATAACTTGACAACTGCTTGTTAAATCCATGACCTTTTGACAGGTTTCTAAGCATTTTTAGATATAAAAGCATTCTCAAATCTGTCTGAAGGTCATGGATTTAAAAGAAAAACGATAAAATGAAATAAGCAAGAAAATAAAAGAACTTAATAAAAAAACTTGAAAAAAATGACCGACCTCCTGACAAGTGTTTTTTAAATCCATGACCTTCGGACAGGTTTCAAGGTATTCTTATATATGAAAGTGGCATTTTTCTCTTAAGCAATGATATTCTCAAATCTGTCAGAAGGTCATGGATTTAAAGAAAATCTAACAAAAGGTCATTTATTCCTAGTACTTACCTGCATTTACATTTTATATACAGATCTAGAAGGAAGTGAGCATGATTCACTTGTCTTTTGTGAACTTCTTGGCTCTAATTGAGAACTGTTTCAGAAACTTCTCATCAGCAAAAGTTAACGGGAGCTCTTCATCATCGAACAACTTATCCCACTCATCATTTTCTTGATTTGTATCGTTTTCTGTGGGTTTATTTGGAAATCCGGGCTCGTTTGGTATATCCCGATATAAGTGCTTCAAAATGAATAGTGCGGTATCGGGGTCTCTCCAGTATTTTCTGCAAGATACGGGTTAGTCAAAGAAAAGCGTCTACTTTGGGAGAATGAGAAAGATAAAGAGAATACAACGGAAAGCAAAAAAATCATTGAAGTTTAAATGCCAATTGAACTTATGAAGTTTGTGACGTGAATAAAGTTGAATCTTTCTAATATACTCCCTCCGTCCCAAAATAAATGTCCACAATGAAAAAGGAGCACAATTTTAGAAATGTGTAATTATTACACCTTTTAATCAAATTAAATGACAATTTTACCCTTAATAACAGAGAGTGTAATGAATTTCTCTATCTCGTAATTAAGGGTAGAATTGGAAAGTAGACACTTATTTTAAGACAGACTAAAATAGAAATATGGACACTTATTTAGGAGGACTCGACATCCCCATGAATTGCAATGCTTGATCGGACCCTCATCAAATGTCTTAAATACTCTTAGGGCATGCTGTTAGCAGCTTAATAAGACTCACAACTTATTCGGTCAGCTATATATTACTGTTTGGTGATAACTTAATGATATAGAAAGTGGCTTATTCAGTAAGCTTCTAGGAGAAGCTTTATGCAGAAAGCCAAGTTTTTCTAAACATGCTCCTTCCTTAAAAAACATGTTCCTTCCATATATGAAAAACCCTCCCAAAAAAACCCTTCGCAATCTATATGGATAGATTAATCCACACAGACAGTTTTATCCTTACATGACTTAATGGAAAACCAACCAAACAGCCGCTTAGTAATGATAGAATATGTAAGATTAATTTAAGTTGCAAAAGAAGTTGCAACTTCGACATCCAAAAAACCTAAGGGTCATTGACCACATGGTATTTGAGATGATATTCCTGATACTAGAGTTGTTTGGAAAAATCAGGACGTTACACCGGTGAGGAGTGTGTGAGTTTTGCCGTAACTAAATGTTACTTCCTCTGTTCCAAAATAAATGCCCACAACACAAAAGGCACACAGTTTTTGAAAGATGTAATTATTATAAATTTTAATCAACTAAATGACAATTTTACCCTTAATAAATAGAGGGAGTAATGAATTTCTCCATCTCATAATCAAGGGTAGAATTGGAAAGTAGACACTCGTTTATTTTTTCCAAGAGCTTACGCGCACCGACTAACCACCAGGCGACCACAAAGTGGTCTGGAATCATTGCAGGTGCTTCAATTTGAACCCGGGGTAGATGAGATTTTCCACTACATCCCCGTGAAGCTTAACCAGTGCGCCACAACCCAAGTGGTTAGTGGACGCTTATTTTGAGACAAACTAAAATAGAAGCGTCGATACTTTAGGACGGAGGGCATATATACTTCCAACATAAATTATGATATATACAATCCAAATCCAAATGTTTTAAGCTTTCCGATAATAAAAAAAAAACAACAAAGAAGATCGTTATCCAACATAACTTTCTACGAACTTAAAAATGGCAAAAATCATTTCAAAAGCATGACATAACTAAGATATACTTACGTATGTGCACTAACAGCTGATATGTATTGATGCTCAAATGTTTTATTCTGCATCATCAAAATTCCCAGATATGAGACTTCACAACAGAAAGGGAAAAACCATGGCAAAGAAGAGAGTACAGGGACCAAAAAATGCATGAAAACAATTTTAGTGAACATGTACAGAATTGATAATAATTTTCTATTACAAAAGGATGGTCGAGTAAACTTTGGGCTAAAATATTGCGGTCAATTCAAAGGCTGTTCCATACATACCAAGGGTTTATTTGCTCCTTGGCAATCTTCATTTGGGTTGTTTTATTCCATTCTCATTCTTGGAATATAATGGGTTCGTTTTGTTTGGTTTATTCAAGTATCTAGACTATTAGGGTGCGTTTGGTATGATAGGACAGAACAAAACAAAACAAGGATCACCATTTCAGACAAGACTTTTACGTGAAACAAATAGGAATTGAGTGGAATAAAGTGGAACATGCGTGTTCTACCTCCAAGCCATGGAACAAAGTGGAACAAACCTATATTTTACCAATACAACCTCAAAATAAACCTAATTCTCTTCTAAAACATCAAATACGCCTCATTTGTCACATTTTATTCATTATTTAAGTTTTATTTATTGTATTTTATGTTCTTTAAACTTTCATTTTAATGTCCTCAAAATATTATTTTTATACGGTTTCTATATTTTGGTCAATTTATTAAATATTAATAATAAAAAAAATAAAATATGGAAAATGTATAAAATAAAAATTGGAAACTACATGAACTTTTTATTATGGTGTCCTTTGAACCGTCTTGAAAGTTTCTAATGATATATTTTGTTATAAAAATATTTATTTTATTATAATTTAATAAATTACATAAATTAATCAAAAGATATAAACAACTCATTAGGATAGATTGGTCATTTCATTTGTTCTGTCCTGTCCATTTCTGTCTTACCAAACGATGAACAACTCTTTTGTCCTGTTCTATTTAGTCCTACCTGTCCGGATACCAAAAGCATCCTCAAGGAACAGAGGATATGGTAATGTATAATGATGCACCACTCCTTGTAAGGAAAGAGTAAAAACCTACAATGTACCCATTACCTCTATCTTAACATTATTTTTGGTAACTGTAGGTGTCCAGCTTGCATGCACCCCAACTAATCCCATGGCACCCTGAAGATGGCCAGAAAAATCCCCGATGCCCCTAAGGAAGACCCGAACAGGAGACCTATGGGAGGAGCCCCAAGCCCAAACCTTTATTTTCCCATTGATCTGACCCGCTTAAAAAACGCATAAAACACGATACTGCAACTTTTTCTTATTTTGTTTATTATCTTGATTTTTGTTATGCTTTAAGTACCATGATCAATAATACAAGAAGAAAGCTCCCCTTTGTTGCTTTCAGATAAAATACAATTCTATGCAATCCATACCGGGTAACCTAGAAACTACAGGTTGCATAGTTGACTTTAGTTTTACATATCGGTTTCGGGGTTTCAAAATACCAAAGTACCAAACAAAATGGCACCATGCCATTCTGTTGTAGACCAACGGAATGCATGATATCAATGTTTTAATTGCTAGCAAAAGATCAAAAGAAATTGATCGATTAATTATTCTGTGTAGATAGCTTGCAAATCAAACTTTGATATAAAGATGGACACGCAGGTTGATAATAAGATCTGATTAAAAGTTAAAGAGTAGCAAGCAAAGTCCATATCTTGTTTGTAGAAAGGTAGGAATGCATACTTGAAGCACATGATCGATGCGCCCATCTCGACTCCCTGTTATCCTCTCCAACATTATTGAACCATATGATCTCTCTATTTCTTCGGGTTGTTCCGAGGTTTCTTCTAAGCCAAAAACAAAACACATAAGAGTAACGAACTAAAATCAAAAAACGAGTTATCAACTAAAGCTTGTTACAGCACAGAAGCAATGGATGGGGACGAGTTTGTATGAGTCAAAATTGGGACCAAATCAAATCAAACGAACCCAGTATACCCCACTTGAAAGTAGGGTGTGGGAGGGGTCGGATAAGGGGCGGACCCAAAAAAGATTTTTAAGCGGCGACACAGTTTGACTATAAGATAAACAAATCTTTAGAAAATTTCCACAATTAGTATTTATTTGTTGGTTGGTTGGTTCCTTGTCCTTGCACAAAAGGAACCAGTGTTCGAGTTCTGTCTTCAATTAAAAACACAAGGTGTATAAAGAACACCAAATTTAAGATGAAAAGTTAGAAATTTGACAAAAGTGGGACTCGTACCCACTTACGCGGGTCTTCCGTAGAAAGCCGCAAAATTTACCAACTCCTCCATTAGAGTTGTGCTAATAGTTTAGTTTCAAATTATAAGGGCACCCAACAGAACAATACGGTAGCACTCTTTAGAATCGTATTTTTTTTCCATTACGAAGGAACCATGAAGAGGTGGCTCGTATCACCATATGCTGCTATGTAGCTCCGCCCCTTGGTAGAATGTACACAGACCGTACCTCAACCACTAGGATCGAGGGGCTGTTTCCGTGAAGACACCAGAATGTGCACGACGCAAAGGTGTGTGCAAGCAGGCAATAAGATAGGTAAGATGGCAGGTGGGTCAGGTTCGGAGGAAAACCGCAGAAAAAATAATGAAGAGTTGAGAAACACCCTGATAACCCATTCATCTGAATGGTATGCACATTACTTGTATGCACATGTGCATATCTTCCAAACAAATGGCTACCAGGGTGTTCCTCAGTTTTTTATTCTTTTGGGGGTTTTCCCTTGAACCTCCCTCTAACAGGTAACAAGGAAATATAACAAGTAAATTCGGAACCAGGTACAATTCAATTACCTTCATGGTCATCATCACTGTCCCTGGATTGGCATACAGTCAATACCTTAACCTACAATGGGTAAGCAAATTTAGAAAACATAGGTCACTTCTTAAGCCATATGACTAAAATATAGAATATATGCACTTCCATTAGCAAAGATCCATTTGCAATAAAAGGAATGCACCAAGTCCAGAACAAATTGGTCAACATTTCTTTCCATTAAAATCAACAAAAATCACCTAATAAGAGTCTAAAGAAGATGATTTTGTAATGCTCCAACATAATCTCTTCTACGCCTGTTTGTTAGCAGCTTAATGAGCTTAATTGGACGTATAGCTTATTCGGTTAGTAAGCTTCTACAGGGTATGCAGAAAGTCAAGTTTTTTCCAAACCTGCCTCCCAATTAAAAACATGCTCCTTCCATCTATGAAAAACCCATCCTAAACAAAAATTTTCCCAATCTATACAGATAAATTAATCTAGACAAACAACTTTATCCATACAGCACTTAATGGAAAACCAACCAAACAGCCCCTAACAGACACCACTAAAAGAGGGTGAACAAACGGAATGAACATTGTGCCATAATTACAGAAAATGGGTGCACACATCAAAATTCAGCCAGCAAATTTCGAATATAACTCTAGTACAGCATCAGTAATACCAATCATACGCTGGTCAAAGGCCCCTTAACAACATCATTTGGCTCTAAATGTTTTGATTAGAGTCACATTTGCTTTTATAAATTAAGTTTGGCTCATTGCAACATCCTAAGGAAAGCACACAAACGCTAATGCATCCTAATTGCAGTTCTGACTTATTCAAGAATCTTCCTGCTGTCCTGCACCCACTTAAAAGCATGATAAAAGCAAGAACTAATTCAACCAAACAACTCTTTAGTTATCCATCTATAAATCATAGGGAAAAATGCAACAAACTTGCCATAGTTGCCATATTTTGTAACCGAAAAAAATCTGAATAAACGTAATAGAGTTTCAAAATTTCCTATTTAATTACGTGGATGTCAAGTTTATTGTCCACCTTGCCGTAACCCTTTCATAAAAGGGTATCCACGTCATCAAATGTTACAAGGTCAGCAGGTTACGGTCAAGATGGGTATAGAACCGGAAATTTTGAAACTTTGTTACATCAATTGAGAAAAAAAAATTCTTCATTACACTCGATAGAAACTAAACCAACCTATTTTTTGCATTTTGATGTATTTTGCCCTAAATAATATTAATACAGATAATTGTGCTTGTGCACTAATTGATCAGGAAGGGTGCATTTGGTATCCAGACAGACAGGATAGAACAACTGTTCAACGTTTCGTGAGATGGAACTGAGCAGGACAGAACAGATAAATGAACAATTTACCCTTAATGATTTTTTATATCTTTTATATATTTTGATTAATTTATGTAATTTATTAGATCATGATAAATAAACATTTTTATAATAAAATATATCATTATAAAGTTTTCGTCAAGATGATTAAAATGACACCAAAAGAAAAGTCTATGTAGTTCCCAATTTTTATTTTATACATTTTCTATATTCTTTTATTATTAATATTTAATAAATTACAAAAATTAACCAAAATATAGAAATCATATAACAATAATATTTTGAGGAAAATAAAGTAAAAGTTTAAAAAGCATAAAATACGATAAATAAAATTTCAAGAATGAATAAAATATAAAGAGGAAGGTGTATTTGATGTTCTAGAAGAGAATTAAGTTTTATTTTGAGGTTATACTGGTAAAATATAGGTCTGTTACACCCTGCTCCATGGGGTGGGAGGAACATGCCTGTTCCACTTTGTTCTTATCGTCCACATAATAAGTCCTGCAAACATGGAACAGTGATCCCTGTTTTGTTATGTCATGTCCAGTGTACCAAATGCACCCGCATTGAACGCATACACGATGTAGAACAGAAGTTATAGCATGTTATTTATAAGGCAATTAGTAGCACCAACCTTTACCAAGCTCATATGATCAACCACCACTTGAGAGCGTAATGCAACTTTTTCTACAAATTCCTGCCCCCATCATGTATAATCATTACCACAATGAGAGGTTATACGCACAAACAGCACAACCGTATAACAATATGTACCTGATATCCAACATGCAGCCTCTTTCCACCTCTGTGATAAGGAATAATGACTGGACGCTTGTCGATATACTCTTTACAGACAAGTGGTTCGATTCTGAACAGAAGAGTACATTTCACATCAGGAGTCAACACAGAGTGCTTCTTTTAATTTGATACAGAAGTAATCATGTAAAAAAGATTTTAGGTGTGCATCAATATGTGTTGTAAGATTTACTATTAACAATGAGGCTAAAAGGAGCCAAATGAATGAGGGTCCCCAGGTCATTGACATGACAAACAGCTTAACTTTGCAGGACTGCATCCAAGTGATTTAGGGTCAACGTCTAAATTTTTTTACAATTAGGGAAAGCACACCCAAAGGGATGATGTTTACCGCCCAACATTCACAAACCCCCGCTGATTCAATGGACAGTACCGGTACTTGTATCCAAACATGGGAAATACAGGTTATCCTGAAAACGTCCTATCAACTTTGACAGGCCAATTGGGTGTTCAACACATACACGGAAGATCGTGAATGGGAGTTAAGATAAGAAGCGTAAGAAGGGATCTGGACCCTTGATCACTTTTAATCTCACCCCCACCCTATGAATTGCGCTTGATACGGGAATTGACCCCGTGCATCTCGGTGCATCTCATTACTGTTGATCTTCAATTAGGATTGATCCAAGGTTGGAGATCCCTTCTTACCCTTCTCACTATAACTTCCATTCTCACCAGAACCCAACCGTCAACAGATAAGTTCATAGTAGCAGTTCCTATATCTAGGAAATGGGTCGAATAAAGTAACTCAATATCATCTTAAGGTGGTAATATTGCAAATTATAAACAATCATGCCAGCCAAAGGTACAGCTTCACTAGCAAGTATGATATCTTGCATTCATTAAATTTGAGCATAACCTAAGATGCAACGATCGTTTATTAGTAACTTCATTCAATAAACATGTTTGGCTTCTTTCACATTGGTATTAAAGTAGTTTCATTGACCACAGGCAGCCAATAAAGTTGTACAAGTACAACATCCAGGAAAATTGGAGGTAGAGATTGAAAAGCAGTGGCGGACCCAAGAATTTTTCCGAGCGGGTGCACTTTTAAAGTCAATCAAAGGCCAACAAATTTGCGGTTTAACCTAGGAAAAAGTCAACACGGTTTGACCCAAGGAAAATTTAATTGTGTCGATTTGATACAATACAAATTTACAAATAAACCACTCTTGACTTTTTGAGCAAGACGGAACACTATGTCTTACATGCGACGCGTTCTTGGCCGAATTCCACCTTTACGGGGGATTTTTTTGGTTGATTTCGTAACGGCCAACAAATGCAACAACAAAAGATAATTTATAAATTTCTTACATAAATATGTTTGATGACATCATGGACAGAGGAATAATAACCCATTGTTAAGTATTATGAAAAAAATTAAAAATAAAAACTCATACAAAGTATAAATTGTTAAATGTAATTAATTTTATTTTCTTTTCAAGTTATTTCGGATAAACATGTATTGTCATTAGAACGAGAGCAAAAACAAATTTAAGATTAATGGGTAAATAGGAAGAAAAATACTAAAAAAAGAAATAAAAGTAAGATTGAGACAATTGTAAATGAAAATTAGTTGTAGTTGATTGGTAAGACTTTCCTATTTTATAGTTTTGGTCCTGAGTTCAATTCTTTTGTTGTATATTTGTTTGTATAAAAAACTAGAAATTGTTGTCAAAAAGATTTGAACCCACGACCATAAGGAAAGCAAGTAGTGCCCCAACCATTCCAACAACCCCACTTTCCTGTTTCAAGTACTGTTTTAAGAACATATAAGAGCACACTTCAAAATTAAGCGGGTGCACAGTTACGACCGGTAAAAAAAATCCGTTATGAGGGGACGATCGAGCGGGTGCCCATGCACCCCCTACTCTATGGGTAGGTCCGCCCCTGTTGAAAAGATGCATTAAATATGATGGAAATATTTGCTAGGATGGAGGAGAATATTGAGGTGCGATTTTTGTCCGTTGAAGAGTTAATGTGCAAGTTACTAGAGGCCAACACCGGAGGGGTGCCACCAGCAACTGCCACACCAACAGCGGGGGCAGAGTGTTCATCTAAACCGCCAAACCGCACAAACCAGCCACACCGCAAAACGCGGTTTACAACTTTCGTGGTGCGGTTTGCAGTTTGCATTTTCATCGAACCGCACTTTGTGGTGCGCTTTGCGGTTTTGAGTCATCAAACCGCGGTTCAAAACGCAACGCACCACATATTTTTTAAATATATATTTATACATATAATCATTTATCAAATCAAAATAGTTAATACATTACTGATTATTTATCAATTTTTCAGTTTTTCTTTTAAGTTTTTACATTACAAATTCCTTATTTGAATTATTTTCATTTGTCTTTGTTCAAACACCATGGTCAGAATTATTTTTAAGTTAAATTTTAAGATGTATTTGGATTGATTACCGAACTATTTAGTTTGCATTATACCTTTTTAATTAAGCATTCATACGTATCGAAAGTTTTTATTATATGGAATATAGGAGCATTGTAGCAGAGGTGTGGCCATTAGGTGGCAAAGATGGTGAAAGACACCATGAGCAGATGAGGCGCCAGTGAGGACAACGTGCAAGCGGGTACAGCCGTGCCATGTGATGGGGCACTAGCGACAACCATGTCGCATGGGAGTAGCAATATGAGCCTGTGTTTGGCAAGGAAAATCAAACAGGGTAGTGTACACGTGGAGGAAAAGAAGTGGATTTGATAGGAGGCGAGGCCAAGGGTGCATTTTGTATGCCGGACAGGACAATACATAAAACTTATTGTTCCACGTTTGACACAACAATTGAGCCTGTTTGTTAGCAGCTTAATGGGACTCACAGCTTATTTGGTCAACTATACATGACTGTTTGGTAGTGTTTTAATGATATAGAAAGTGGCTTATTCAGTAAGCTTGTAGAGGGGGAGCTTTATGCTGAAAGCCAAACCTACCCCTCCAATTAAAAAACAAGCTCCTTTCATCTATGAAAAAACCTTCCCAGACAAACACCTTTCCAATCTATACAGACAGATTAATCCACATAGACAGCTTTATCCATACAAGACTTAATCAAAAATCAACCAAACATCCCCTTAGACTTGGACAGGACTGGACTGAGTGGGACAAAAAAGTAGTCTTTTTGTCCCATCAAAATAGGTGGAACAAAGATCAGGGGAGATGGGACAAGATAGGTAAATTACTAAACTACCCATGTCAAAATCAAAACCTTCCACAATTCTTTCACCCGACTACCTCACTCCCGCCAGTCCAATCCAGTTTCATCCCGACTGTCCAGTCCTTTCCGAGTACTAAACACAATGGGGATCAACAACATATATAACTTTGGCCCCAAAGATGCTGGAAATATACTATCAGGCCTAATAAAAAGGCTTTATCATGGGTCCAATGAGGCTGATGGTTTCATTAACAGGTCTAAAGGTAGCTCTGATTTGGAGTCCACAGAGGCTATTGGGTTTAACATTAGGCCCAATAGAAGGTGACTTTTTGGGAGGGGAATAATGTTAGTCTCAGACATGGGCCTTCGCCCGTGCCGGATTGCCATCTAGGGTTAATTATTAGACTAGGGAATTATACTGTTTCCATAATAAGTAACTCTATAAATGGGGATTGGGAGAGGTTCACTATTATGCTTTATCTTCTATAAAGATTTGAGAATTAAATTAGGCATCTTTGGAAAGATGGCTGACCTCTCAAACAGTCAAAAGTTGGGCAACCCTTTGCGATTGTTATTAGTTAATTTATCCAATAAACTTCATTGGTTCCTATCAGAATTCTGAGTCGTGATGAGCCAAAGTCATCTCATGTGCGGGTTCAAAGTAACCCATGAATTGATGGACTTTAAGCAATGACAATCAATCAATCCAATCTCCAGTTACATATTTTACTCTACTAAACAAGGGCCTGTTTGTAGAGTAGTGGGCTATAAAAACTGATCTTTTTTTGATAAAATAGCACAAAGACTATGAAAACAAATTAATATGCCAACAAGAAAAAGCCAGATTAATCAAAGGGTCATTGGTCCAACAATACCCGGGCTACCAATAGAGCCTAGACTCCCAGGAGGTCAAGGATTCAAACCTCACCAAAGGTGAGGAGTGTGCGTGAGTATTTAGTCGTATATAAATATTATCTACTTCAAAAAAGCCAGATTTCTATATAAGCAAAGGGATGAGAGATACCTGTATGCCACTGGATCGTAAGGATGGAAAATGTTGAACATTTGCCGACAAGATGGCATTTCTTCAATTATGTTTTTATTGTCCCAGTAATCATTTCCTTTGCCTGAGGAAAAAATAGAACAGAAGAACTCCAAAGATGATGATCCTCTACTACTTACAAGTTAAGGAAACGTGTCACTTACTCTATAGGGACATTAATAAGATAAAACAAGCAACGACTAAATTTAGATAGACCACAAAGAATATCTAATAGAACTTCACATTTTATTTTTACTCAGTCAGCAAGTAGGAGGTGGAGATTTCTACAAAGAGATGTGCAGCACACATGATGCATATAGTCTTTGTAGAAGTAGGCCACATGTAACATCCCGGATCAACCATACCAGATATTGTTTGCTTTGCCCACACACCCGGACTCGCGGTTTTAAAACACATTTGGTAGAGGATGTATCCAGTCTCTTATAAGTCAACCTTAGTTATCCGAGCCAGGAACTGGACTGGTGTGCAACAGAGGATGTTGGGCTCCCAAGGGAGGGGGTGGATTGTAAGATCCCACATTGGTTGGGGGAACGATGTTGCCTTAAGGGACTGGATACCTCCTCTATCAGACGCGTTTTAAAACCATGAGTCCAGNGGGGAGGGAACTAAGGTTGCCTTATAAGGGACTAGATACCTCCTCTATCAGACGCGTTTTAAAACCGTGAGTCCAGGTGTGGGGACAAAGCGGACAATATCTGATACGGTTGACCTAGAATGTTACAGCACACACCAATAACATGTTCGATATAAGAAGTCATGAAAGTGTGTATAGTATTGGTGAAAAGAGTTTAGCAGTTCACTTGAAGTGAGACCTAAGAATGTCAAATTGTCTAGTGAACATCAAACATTGGTCCTTCAGAACGCACTTAGGGGATGTTTGATTTTCGACTTAATAAGCATAATGAGATTTTAGCTTAACTGATTAAGCTATAATAAAATGGTTGATTTTATCGTAACACTAAGAGTTGGGCTTAACTTGATCAGCCTGTCCACCCTATCTTTATGCATTCAGTTATGACTTCTTCCACAATTACCCTTGCCCTACAATTTTTTTAATACCATGACCCACTAAAAATTAAATAGTCTATCTATTAGCAAACGCATAAGTCAAAAATTGTAACAAAAAATTTAAGTATATTTAAGTTATTAAGTATGGGTGATGAACTTGTTGAATTTACATTGTTTATGTTATTTAAATAAATCATAAACTTTTATTTTTTTGTCATTCAGAAGATTTATCAAACAATTGTTTTTCATTCAGCACTTATCTAGACAGAAGGTTAATATGGTAATTTTTGTTATATACACTTTTTATTGAAGACAAAATCAAACAGTAATTTATCTTAATTCATCTAGACAGATTAATGCTTACAGACAGTTTAACAGATACGAGGCTTGATGGAAAAAAAAATCAAACAGTCCCACAGATGACAGTCTAAAGTGAAAACTATAGAAAAAAATTAGAACAAATCAGCGATGAGTATAAACACAAGGAAAGAAGGTTATCTTGCAGAAACACAACATGAAGATACTTGAACAGGACCAAAAGTCCAACAACAGAAGAACACAAGCATGCTCAAGTATCCCTAGAGAACGACAACTTCCCTTGGAAGATTCAAAAAGGTTGATACCAAGGATGCACTTACCCGTTACCGCAAACAATCAACTAGATTTTCAACTATATCTTAGGGCCTATTTGTTAGTAGCTTAATGAGCTTAATGGGACTCGCAGCTTATTCGGTCTGCGATACATGACTGTTTGGTAGTGGCTTAATGATATAGAAAATGGCTTATTCAGTAAGCTTCTAGGGGGGAGCTTTATGCAGAAAGCGAAGTTTTTCCCAAACCTGCCCTCCCAATTGAAAAAGACGCTCCTTCTATCTATGAAAAAACTCTCCCAAACAAAAACCTTCCCAATTCATACAGACGGGTTAATCCACACGGACATCTTTATCCATACAGGACTTGATGAAAAACCAACCAAACAGCCCTTAGATTCCTAAGAAAACAAATTATCCACCACATATCATTCCCACATACACCCAAGCAATTGCCAAAACACCCGTGTACAAAGAAATCCTCATGACCTTAAGATCTAAAATATTTAAAATTTGGAGGAACGGACAACAATTACACTATGTTCTGTCCCCAAATGCAAGTATTCTCCTACGGACCAAAAATCATAGAGGGTAATAAAGACAAGCATACCAATTCCAATTCGGATATTGCGCAAGGCAAGAAATACACCAAGAGGAGAGCCAACTGCAAAGAATGTATCAACCTGCCATGAATATGAAGTAGGATAAGGATCAAAAGCAAGAAAATATTTTTTTGAAATCTATGCATTTATCCAGATTTGAGGGGAACTATTACAACCACTTCTAGCACAAGGAAGCTACTGTTGGGATCAATACACTTCTATAATTACCACTTATGAGGAAGATTCAAGGGAAAACCCCCAAAAATTGAATATTGTACAAATTGCTGGAATCAATACAAGTAATTGAATACCGGATAAATTGCTTACAAATTACTTGTATGCACATGTGCATACCCTCCAAATGGACGTTTACCACGGTTTTCCTCAGATTTTCCTTTTTTGCGGTTTTCCCCTTAACTTGGCCCTATTACTTATATCACCTAAATACACACTCGCACAAAACTGCCTCTTATGAGCTTTAACTACCTTCAAATTACTTAGAGCGGGCTGGTATCACCAGGCGAAAGGCTCTTGGTCTAGTATTACCTCCATTAGGTATTGGCGTACTGCACTACTCAAAGAACATTCTCTCCAAACACCCTTCCCATTTCTATTATTTCCTATGGAAACCATTGTTTGCAACAACACCTTCATAGGGGTGTTATTAGGTCAGTTAATTCAGTTCTCAACATTTTCCATACTACCGATAACCGAACCGAATAAGGTTAGTTTCGGGTTATTTGTTTTGGTTAAACCTAATAAGAATTTTACTTTAAATAGGGTTTCTTAAAGATATTTTAACAAGGTTTGTTGAACAAAATATGTTTTTGTTTATTTCGTCGGTCGAAACTCGAGCTATAACTTCAAGGGATTTAGAAAATGCCTTTGTAACTTATAGAAATATTATTCAGACAACTCTAAACAAAAATTAAATTGGATTGTTGAATATATACAAGTACTTTTAGTAATTTAGTCTCTTATTAAATAGTAACAATAGGTGTAGCTAATAGATGGTAACGAGTAAAACATTGGAAGTTGGAAGAGAACTCAACTATTTTTCAAAATTTAAAGTAACTTATAAATATAAAAGATAAAGAACAACAATACAACTTGCTTATTCGGTTTAACTGAAACCGCAAAAAATAACCAAAAATTGAACCAAATGAGGGCATATAACCGAGCCGAAAAAACCAAAAACCGAAAAACCCGAACTGTTTACCCTGAAGTTCATTCCGTTCGGATGGTTTATTTGGTTTCGGGTTTTTTCCGAGACCCCTACACGTCTATGCTGTAAAATACAATTCCACTTCAGCCTACATGGTAAAGGACTACATCCACTTTTCAACTATAACAATTTATTTGCAAGGAAAGTTATAAATCAAAATGCATAGCCGTTACCTTGAACTCCAACTTGGTGTACTTTATTATATAAGGGGTGTAGCTCTCTGGTGTGTCATTATTCAAAGATGGAGAACTCTTGGAGACACTTCCAGTTGTTGCAATTGAAGCTTCCTGCTCATTTGCTGTTTAAAATACATAGCAAACCCAATTTCAGCTCCTAAGAACAATGCGACATATAGGGAGGTTCAGGGAAAACCCCCAAAAAATGAAAAACTGAGGAACACCCTGGTCCGTTCATTTGAACGGTATACACATGTGCATACAAGTAATTGAAGTTGTTTCTTGGTTTCTATGCAATTGTGCATGTTATGCACATGTGCAAACCGGACAAATTACTTGTATGCACATGTGCATACTGTACAGATTAATTGTTACCAGGGTGTTCTCAATTTTTCATTTTTTACGGTATTCCCTGAACCTGACCCATGCGCCATAAATTGCAAAACCAACTACAGGGACAACAACCAATAGTGTTATTTAACACCACTGAGGCAGCTACTAAACGATACCTTCAGCTCTGTGTGATTCTAATTCTTTAATTCTGGCATTCAAAAAATCAATCTGCAAGAGTAAAAGCACTAGTAATTAGGATAAAACAAAGAACCATCTAATAAAAGAGGAAGTATTAAACTTCATGACCTCTTCCTTCAGTGATTTGATTAGTATGTTTTCATCATTCTTAATAATTTCCTCATCAATTCCATTCGAGTTGCTTGTTAAGACTTCACCATTGATGCTTGTGCATTCATCCAAACCATTTTTCTCCTCAGACTGCATCTCAATTGGGTTATCGCTGGATTTGACTCCAACTTCATCTAATGCCGGACTATCCCTTTTCTTAGAATCACTTTCTACTGACAAATTTTCATCTGAGACCGATGCTTGAGTGAGCGGAGAGCCAGACTCTTCAGAATACGTTTCAGGGAGTATAGCTTCCGAGTGAGCATTTGTAATGTCCTTTAAAGGAGGATCTTTATGGGTGGTTAAGTCCGTGTTGCCCGAACTCATAGAAGATTCACATTCGGGAGAAATTTTGTGGTTAGGTTCCTTGAACATCCATTGTGTCTGAAATGGAGAAGATAGATTCTCTTGGTGGCAAAGGATGTCATAAGAAAGGACACTTCCCAAAGAATGGCCATATAAGGAAACCTGCAGAAACAAAAACCACATGAATAATCATCCTATGTGCCATCTTTTGTAACAATTCAAATACGATCACATGCTAGGAGAGTGCATGACCCACCAATCACATACCTTCCCATCATAACCAGGATTTCTCATAAGAAACTTCAAATATAACCTGTTTAATTGGTTGGAAACCTGCACAAGTTCATTAGAATATTAACTCCAGAGAGATAACTCATTGAAATCTTGAGGTACTAAGTAATCAATGGCAGTGGGTCAAACATTAGGAATATATCTAACTTCATACATTTCATATATTTATATATATACACACTAGAAGTATACCAGCGCAATGCAGCGCGATATATCTCGATTCTGAAGTCGAGAGTTCAAACCCTCAATCGAGATTCATGTTTCGTTCTTTTTCTGACCTTCTAGAGTGTTATTTTTATGGTTTTGTGTGGTCTGAAAACCCATTTAGAAGATTTAAAATATATATCAATATGGTTTTGTGTATGTAGGCTATAATAACTTGTAATCTTGAATTTCGAGTTTTTTGTATTAATAACGATACTTGATGCTTAATAAGTTGTTTCTGCCAAATGCATATACACACACATATATACCGCAAAAAAATGAAAAACTAAAGAACACTCTAGTAACCTTTCATTTGAACGGTATGCACATGTGCATACAAGTAATTGAAGTTGTTTCTTGGTTTTTATGCACATGCACATGCATGTGCATGCCGGACAAATTGCTATGAATTACTTGTATGCACATGTGCACACCGTCTGGATGAAGGGTTAGCAGAGTGTTCCTCAGTTTTTATTTTTTTGCTTATTTCCCCTAAACCTGACCCTATATATATATATATATATGCACACGCACACATATATACACACACTGATGCAGCTTTATATGGTATCAGTAATTATAACCTATGCATCTCATACCGTAATGACATCTAAAGTACATGTATTTTTCCAATTTCAAACCTATGATACCTAAAAAGTAAATACAAATCATAAAACTAATCAGATTCCAAATGTTAATTGTGCATACACTATAACAGGGTTAAGAAAAAGAAATAAAAGATGAATGGAACCAAGAGAGTATCATGCATAAGCATACCGAGTTAATGATATCCTGGCAGTAGATTGGGCTCATGTAATATAACACATCATGAACAGTTGCACTCAATGTTACTCGCAACCCACGTACACCAGGTAACGTACATTTTTCTACAGCAGATTCACCACTGAGCTTTAAGTCTTTCCTCCACTGGCAGTACAAAAAGACCAATCACATCCAAGGACAAGGACCACATAATTTAAGCAATTTTCCATCATCTTTGAACAACTTTCTGTCATGCATCGATTTGTTAAGAACCCAAATCAAGAATCAAACAAACATTGAAATGAACCGGTGATTATCAAAGGATTTGCTGGAATTCAACAGTAACAAAAGGGTTTCTGGCTATTCGAGAAGCCAGAGCCCTCCTAAGAACACTCTTACTAATTTTCTGGATACTCCACTCCCCCCTCTTTCCCCTATTTATAGTACAAATTTATTTAGAATTACCCATTTACCCCTTTTATCCCCCTTCTAGAATATATAGCATAATATTGGGCTTGGGCCTATAGATTGATGCATGACACTGTTCAACAGATCAGAAGTGTTCAACAAAAACTATCGTCGAAACCATGACCATAATCACTACCTGGCACGGAATGAAAAGAACTCTTTGAGTTCCACGTTGGTAAGACGTTAGGTGCAGATCAGCAAGGCTTTCTGTAACATGACGGAAAGTGCCAACGTCATCAACCAAATTTGCTTTCTCCAACCTTTGACCGATACCATGAACCATGAACACCAAATGACGAACTGGGACCTGCAAGAATTTGAAGGCCAGAAGCATTTTACTGCATGCAGATTGTGTCAACATAACAACAAAAGGGGGTAACAAAGTCAAAGGCATTCAAGAGTTTAATGATAAGTAGATTCACAAAAAATTTCTATACATGCAACAATCTACTCAACTAATAACTAATAAACAGGCATCAACGAGCAACAGGTGCAGACACTTCCATTGTCCCAAAATAAATGAGTTTTGCTTTGTGTAAGTTTTATATGCCCACGACACGTGTCATACAGTAATATTGCCAAGGAGTATAGGGTCGCATACAAAGAATATGTATGCTTCGATATGATTAATGGATAATCAGAAACCCGAATAATATCATGTTGATTATGAAATAGTTATTCTTATGTGCTAAAAATGTAATTATGGTAATTACAGAGTTTTGCATATAAATGTATTTACATATAATTTTATAACGATTAAATTAAATAAAACCTTTATTTGGGCTTAAGTGCTTTTAAGTAGTGGACCAAAGGATTATAACAAGTCCAGCCCATGTTTGGGAATTATGGTCTATCTGTAACTCCAATGGCCACCTTAAATCAGGTGATAGGCCTAAGCCTAAAGAAATTAATCTTTTTAGATTTCAGAAACATAAAAGAAACCTATTCTCTTTTATGTTGAAAACACGTACTAAAATCTAGGGTTTCGGGCTAGCACTCTGTGGGGGCCAGGCGTGTTCGTGTGTGGATCTATCTACATAGAGGAAACCTACTTTGGTTTCTAGTGCTCCGTTAGACGAATCTCAAAGATAATTTCTAAACACCCTATGGTGTGTTTAGATTCATCTAAATATGTCACTGGATCCAAACAGGGTTTCTTTTTATGAAAAGTTTTCTACAAAAGTAACCAAATATTAACTTTTCCACTGCATTTTAAAAGGTTACTTGTTGATATGAAACCCTACACGCTGGTTTAGGGTCAAGATTCGTGGTATACATAGTTAGAATAGTCATATGTGTTTCTTAAGTCATCAGGCACTAGTTTGAGTTCACCTGGATTGCTAATATGCTGCCATTGACGGAAAGTATTTTTTTACAGTAACCTGAATTTTGCTTTGTAGAATGCATAAGTCCTCATTAGAGTAGCCATTCAAACATTGAAGTGGCATGCATTATAAAATAGTGAATTTACGTGCACTAACTACCGACTCCGTGAGAAGAATGATCCTTACTTACCTTGTACAAGAGTTTGTTTAGAATCAAATTTGATATTGTGACAGGACCAAAGCGAATTATATTGACCGACTAACCGAAAACTAACAAAACATAAACTACTAAAGAAATACCATGTATTTGCCTTAGCTTCTAGGTTCTAATGCATGCCCTACCCTATATCTATAATTATTAGGAATCCTACTACAATAAGGAAACTATTTAAAATACCAATTAAGTAGGATAAGATAGCTATTATCCTTTACTTCCTCCTAAAATATGTATGCCTTTTCGCGGATAGCAGTCATGGGACAAATAGTGATCTGAAATAGCGGTACCGCGATTGGCAGCGCTATTGACCGCTAAATGTATTTTGCACGCAAAAAAGCAGCGACATAACCGCTATTTGTGATAGGTTGTTTTGGTGCTAAGAAGGTTTTGCGGGCTTTTATTTAGGTCTTGCATTCGGTTTTATTTTAGTCCAACAATATCAAGGCTTTCATTATTCTTTTTTTTGGACTAGGACATCAATATTTTCACTTTTTTGAACTTGAACACCATTATTCTTATTTTTTTGGATTTGAACTATCACTTTGACCTCTTGATTTGAATAAAAGTTTTCACATTGTTCAGCTATTTTCATTTGGACTTGGACATCGTTATTCTTATATTTTTTTATTGAATACACAAAATATGTTGAGTTATTTGTGCATATATATAATTCTAATTATTATATGAACAGCTATACCACCACTTTACCATCGGCGATAACCGTTGTTTCAAATCACAGTCCTTACCGCAATTTCATATTTTGACAGTTGTAACAGCATAGATTATTTATATGTTTCTGAGCCCTTGTAAAGTTGCACACCACTACCTATGAAATAAATGAAGTTGATGCATCACTTTTGGGATGCAAATAACATTTTACAAAAGAAATAACCTTTTTGTCCTTGAACTGTGTGCTACATTCATATTTAGCCATGCCTTTGTTTTTCTCGCATTTCCAAATTTGTAAAAGTAGTTCAATCTTCATCCCTCTCCACAACAACTTTACCAATTATTCAGTGAAAAGAATCAAAGATGAGGGGTTGAGTCGATTACTAGCAATTCATGCCCAATCTTTCTTTCTCTCTCTCCATCTAAAAATGTATCTGCATATGGCTAAAATACCCTAAGCATCCATCGCTAATCATTCATACTGATATTCACATTATAAAATGCTGAATATAGTACAACAGCCTACATTTTCATCCAATGCTGAACATAGTCCATTTATGATTTCTCGACAGAAAATATATCAATTCTTATATAGAAGGCAATAAACATGCATCAACATAGAATTCATGTTTGTATACTCAACTATATCAGTTGTGCATATATATATATATATATATATATATATATATATATATAGAGAGAGAGAGAGAGAGGTTCAGAGGAAAACCCCCACATGTGCATACAAGTAATTGAAGATGATTCCTGGTTTTTATACACGTGTACATGTGATGCATATGTGCATACGAAAAAAATTACTTACAAATTACTTGTATGCACATGTGCATACCATGCAGATGAATGGTTACTAGGGTGTTCCTTGTTTTTTCATTTTTTGCGGTTTTCCCCTTAACCTGACCTTGTATATATACACACACATACATATATATATATGTGTGTGTGTGTGTATAGACGAAGGATCATGTGAGAATAGGAGTTAAGGTGAGAAATGTGAGAAGGATCTGGACCCATGATCACTTCTAATCTCAACCCCACCTCATGAATTGCGCTTGATACGGGAATTGATCTGATGCATCTCGGTGTACTCTTTAGTGTTGATCTCAATCAGGATTGATCCAAGAGTGAAAATCCCTTCTTACCCTTCTCATCACAACTTCCATTCTCACGGGATCCCATTCCTACGTGTGTGTGTGTGTGTATATATATATATATATGTCTATATATATGAACATAAAGCTGAGAAAATGCCACCAGCTTTACCTGTGAACAGTAATCATCCATTTCTTCCTCTTTCTGTTGACGTAACTCGTCCTACCAACAAAGTTATCAATTAGGATACAAAAATTTTATTTCAGCAGTGCATATGAAGAAAGACATGCCGGTAGAGTAAAACAGATAATGCTAAGTAATACGGTGAGGAACTGGAATACCACTGCATGATTCATGAAAAGATTGACCATCAGAGAAGTTTTCTGGAAAATAAAGATAACTGCATACTAGCAGGTTAACAGCAAACGATGGCTAATCATATCAATTAAGCTTTAGATAATCTGAAATCTTCTACACGAGAAAAAGAAAAAAGGGCTGATCAACTAGATAATTTGTTATTTCCATCGATGTTTGTGTTTTAATCTACGATGTCCTGATGCCATCAGCCTCTTCATGTATGTAAAGAATCCAACTATGCCTTCATTTTAGAATCCCAGTAAACTCCAAGCATTTTATGATAATTCAACTTCGGAAATAATATTCTTATTTTCCACATAGAGATGTGCTTCTTGAGCACCTGTCCAGTGAGAATCTGCCCCACTTAACAGGCCTAAACTTGCAACATAATGCCTGGTCATCTCAATGTTATGTGTTGTCATTTCTCCTTTTTATAATTAGTTTCACAAGTCAAAAGACATGAATTATTTTCTGTTACTCCCTGTGCCTTATTTATCATAGGTAATAATCCAAGTTTTCCATGAGAAGATAGTAGAGGGTAGGGTGCTCGAAAACCCGACCAACCCAACCCAAAGCAACGCGAAATAACCCTACTCGACGCAACGCGAAATAACCCAACACAACGCGAAGTAACCCAACCCAAAGCAACCCGATGTCTAATCGAGTTCTAAGATTTTCAAATCGTAGGTATTGGGTTGGAAATGGGTTACGATTATTTGAACCCAAACCCACCCGATGAACCCAAAATCCTTTTATTTATTGGATTTAATATAATCGTTAAGTCCCTATTAATATGTACATTAGACAATTACAGCATCAAGTACCCTCTTCATATACATATATTTTCAATCTCTTCTCCATCTCTATATAACTCCTTGACATATATGTTCAGTAAATGTGAACACATATATGCATATATATATGCAAATTGAGAAAAGTAGTTGAATGTGATATACTTGAGATTTAAGGAGTGCGGATAAGCTGTACCAAAAGATTGATGATGAAAAAGGAATCATGAGTAGAGAAGACAACATATTCAAGGTTAGGAGAATTAATATTTTGATGTACCAAAGTATCAACCTGTATGGTTTGGGTTGGGTTGCATTTGGTTTGGGTTGGGATTTTTCAAACCGCAAACATTGGGTTGGGTTGTTCAAATGCCTTCAACCATCGTCTTATTTAATGTACTCAACTATATCTGAACTCAATTAAACCATTGTGAAACAAACTGGGTTGTAATGAGACCCATCTGAAATTATACTATATCTACACTTACCAGCCATGTTAGTATGTTTGATTATCCAATATGGAGACACAGAAACTGTTACAAGCAAGCAACACCGGGAAGAGAAGAGCATTGATAAACAAATCTATTTTTGGCAATCCTGAAACAACCAAATATACCTGGGTTGGCTTTTCTGAAAGAGATGGAGCATATCCACGCCTTAATTTAATGCCAGTCCCTCCAAAATTAACTATGCTAGCAAATCCAGATGCACCGACATTTAGCCAAGCATCCCATGTATCATCCTCACCCGTAAAAAGAGCATGTAGACCCTGCAGGAAATAAGTAACATATTTGATGCTTAAATAAAAGACGACAATAATTAGAAGTCTTAAATATTACTTTAGCATTGAACAGTAACATACCGGGCTAGACCCTTGCATATCAACCCGTGCTGCAAATAATCCAGATGGTTGAAATGTTCTACGGTGCCAAACCTGGAATAAAATGCCAACGAAGCTCACAAGCAATTCAAGAGCACTCAAAATTGGGCCAAATGAAACAATGCGAACTAAAAGCAACATAAAGTGTAGTTTATTTCGCTTTAGGAAATGTTAATTTGAAGTAATAAAACAAGAAGAAGAGAAAAGAAGCATCAAATGCACTTAAAAACATCAAAATAAGAGATCCATTGAACAACAGAAGCATGTTCGATAGATGACTTGCCCGGCTGCGATAAGCAAACTCCAACTGTTCAGCAACATCTTCGCGGAGTGGAAGCCAATCAAGACTCCCTTTACGAGCAAACCAGTGGCCTCTTAGAACACGCCGATTGTCTCCATTCCAATAAACAGGAAAACTATGTCTTCTTACTAAGTCTACCTGCAGTCATAACATGCAACAAGAAAGTAATGACACCATAAAGTTTACTAGGAGCTAATATGATAGTTTTGCATCACAAATGCATCCATATACAGATGATTAGAAGTTCAACCATGTTCCAATCTGAAAACTTCTCACCATTCTCCAATTTTACTTGGAAAACCAGTAAAACTCTAAAAAGGGGGTTCAAGTTAAGGGATCGACACATGGTTGACAGTCCTGTATTCTATGGTCACTCCAGCCACGTCGAGAGGGCTGTCCCCTTATTAACCCATTGAAAGGGTGCAAACTTAGAGACAAAAACCTTACAAGATGACCCCTTGGATCTCTAGGTTAACCTCTGAAAGAGGCTCCAAGGGATCAATTGTTGGCCATCCGCCAAGAGGCATCTCCATACTGATGTCATAGAATAAGATATGATATAAAGACATAATAACAGGCTGCATCACTCATGCAAAGAAGGCGGATCCATAAAGGTAACATATTATTCTGCTTATAATCACATTGATTATGCCAAAGGCCCAAAAATCAACATGGTAATTACAAACCATGAAGAGAAGAAAAGAGACAACACCTCATACAAGCCTCCTTTCACGGGGACACCAACTCTCTCATCTTCGTCCGCGTATCGTTGCTCTGATTGAGTGCTAGGTAAATTATATGGTTTTACCGCTGGTTCTGACTTAGAAGTTGAAGGAACTGACCCTTTCGGACCTTCGCTACATTCACCATACTCTCCCCACCAATTAGAGAGCAACTCCTCTTCTCGCTGTATATGTAGTATGTACATCAGTAAATGCCCAAGAGTTGGTGCATGAATATGGAAATATATATCCAATTCAACTCAAAAGTCTAGAAGTATAATGTTTCATTTACATAGTCAAGTAACAAATAATATGTGAAAGTAAATACTCCAATAAGTTACATTCTGCTTAATAACCCTAAAACAAACCATGAACATCAACCCAAAAAACAACTTCAATAACACACCGAGAACAAATGGTATGACCTGCAAGAACGATGCCTCTATTGCAAGAGAATCCCTCATACCAAATCGAAAATAATCACCTTTCCCTACTACTTCTGCACGTGGGAAAGCAGCAGCTAGCTCTGTAAATAAGCAATGCCAGCAACACGGAATCAATATTAAATAAACAAATATGAATGGAAATGTTCTGGTGAGTTCAATGGATTGTGCATGATAGCATAGCTAAGGTTCGGATAGAAATCTACCCAGAAAAATAATTGTGAGAGAAAGAGAACTTACAGAAAGTTTCTTACCAAGATAAACAGAATAAAGATAAAACACAATAAATAAAATGAACCTCCCAACACTCCTCACAACCCATCATCCTTCTTTCTATTTTTAGCCCTGCAACTTCATATAAAAATTACCCTTGGTATTCAATACAGTAATATTCTGAACAATGAAATTAAAAATCCAACAATAAAACAGAAACAAGATAGAAACTGAATCCACGTCAAGTCATAACGAAGACATAGTGAGTTTGTCTCCTTTCTCCGGGCCTCCTCTCTTTCTATGGTGCTTTTCCATCACTTCATTCTTTATATTTACTGAAAAAAAATCTATGTCTTATCCTACTAAAGAAAGTATATGTGACGCAACTGTATCATCAGTATTCTTGGTCCTCATTGATCTCACTTTGCCAAGAAAGAAGAGAAGATATATTTGTAGCTCCATTTTGCTTCAATAGAGTACAAGATCTCAAAATATTTTGGAGGGAAGATTTAGCTGGACTCTCTTGCTAACTTCTCTTATTTATGTTTCTTTTCTCATCCTTCTCGAGTCTCACTTCGGGAACCATACAAAAGAGTGAAAGATCTCAAGGCTTAAGAAATCCATTTTCTCATATGGGAAATGCCATAATTGTGGCTTTATAGAAAAAAAATAACAACAAAAACCATTGAGTAAAGCATAAAAAGGAAGTCTGGTGTCAAGTAAATTCTTTGGAAACTGTTAGACACCATACCACCCGGTAGCAAGCAATAAAGGCCAGAAAAAAATAACCAAGAGAAGAACTATGATACTCATTTGGTTACAATTAGCAGATTCCCTTAAGCCAACCCATGACATAGAAGCTACTGGTTGGAACCCTATCATCCCATATCCTAGCAAGTAGCAATAACATGTTTTCAGCACTACAACAAGCCCGGCCCTTTGCAACGGACTATAGTACGTTATTGAGCTCTCAAATTATAACCAGCATCTGATTTCCCACAAACAAGAATCAAAGATAAGATTAACTAGAACCCAATATGTCAAGGAAATCCCAAGGGGATTAGCAGCATTGATAATGGAGCATATAAGTGGATTGCATATGTTTTTAGACCTTGGATAAGCAGGTCTAAGCCAATGGCAATCTAATAAGTACCTTGGGAAGATCTCACTGGCAGCAGGGGTGCCATATGGAAAAAACAATGTGAGCAAACATTATTTGCAAGAGGTTAGTGCTTCAGGAGTTAAACAAGTAAAGATACCTTCTATGGATTCACTAGGGCTGATTTATGAACTATTGTACAATTTAGCACAGCCTCGCTTAAGCTTAATGCCAGACAAGACATGATAACCGGCCTCACATCAGGTCTTGACGGGAATTAAGCTGAAGTGAGCTTGTGCTCAATTGCAAAGTAGTTCATAGATCAGCCCTAGTGAATACATAAACGGTATCTTTTACTTGATCCGCTGATACGCTTAAGTTTCAGAGTTACGCAATCAGACTTAGACATTTTGTTTAGACTTTTCCCATATAGCACCAGGGCAGTAAAGTGTGATGGTGCAATAATCCTGCCAAAAGGTATTCAATTTTGTACTAACATAGGCTGGAACTAGATTAGGTGGATCAAAATCCATATCATGGAGGTTCTTATGTATCCTACCACTATGAACCAGCCCAATTTTAAAGTCGCCAACTAAATAAATCTCAGCAATCAACCATGGATTGCCCAGCATTCGCTATTTTCTCCCACTCATACTTCAAATAGGATTTAATAAACACATAGAGCAAAAGAAAAGTTACAAAGCCTTTGATATGATATCCATAACAAGTCGGTACTGCACTAGCAACAAAAACGTTGCAATTCCTTCTTGAACGCCGAACCCCACTTAAAACCCTCAAACCAATTAAAAAGAAACTAAACCCTCAAACCAATTAAAAAGAAACTAAGTATGCTTCTGGTTTCGCAATGGCGAAATCACTATCCATGCCTCAGGCTTAGGGCAATGTTACTGCCTAAAGAACTACTATAAGCTAACACATTCGTATAACATCATCAAGAACTCACCATTTTCCGCCATTGGAACCTTAGAGAAGTACCACCTAACATCACCCCCATCCGACGGGCTTCTAGTCTGTGCAAGATACTTCTGCCGCCCCTCACACTGCTCTATCTCATCAGTTAACCTCCTGATATTGGACGGCGTATTCCGTAACATATCAGCATAAAGTTTCGCGTTTTCATACTTCTCACTGCTTTCTGCCATTGGAACTGGCTTAAAGCAGCTGTAGACTTCGTTTCGGCAATTTATCAAACAGGTGGCGTGCACTACACCCCTAACACAAACTGTCCAAACAATTCTCTCACCAGATGAAAACAAATAAAGATTCTAGCATACGCAATCGGGTTCTCTCATATTCCGACCAAAATTTGTGTAACTTGAAATTGGGCAATAGCTGCAAGTCTGCAAATACCTCGAGTATGGTTTGGAAACAAATCACTGGTATGGTTGAAACAAGTCTTGGGTGTTTAAGATTTACATCAACTATCGTGTAATCTGCTAAAAACCCCTAAATTGAAGATCAATCAGATGGTTGTTTTAGTTGGATCTTAAAGAAATTGGAGGCAAGAAGCTTGTAGAATATTTAAAGAAGTGAGTCTGGCATATTCACAAACCAGAAAAGAAGACTTCGATTTAAATATTCAAAAAAAGGTAAATATGTAAATTTATTTTACATGCAACAAATATTGAATTCTTTTTCCCATAAGCGGAAAATGACCACGGAGTAATCAATTAGCTATTTTTTCGTTAGTGGTTGTTTTGTAGTTATTGAATGGTTAAGTGGTTAAAATGATTAAAAGGTTCTCATGATATAGTAAAAATTAAATTTATTTGTTTGGTAATTGTTTATAATGAAATTAGGGTGCTGAATGGTTAAGGGAGTCTCAAGATACAAAATCATTCAGAGGGTTTTAAAACCATTAAGAGACAAAAAAAATTGTCTTCTTAACGATTCAGATGTTGTCTCTTAATGAAACTATTAAGAGGTAAACAAACAACCCCTAATAAACTAGTTGATAAGTTAAAAATATTATTCTATAATAAAGACTCAAATTTAGTAACGGTTTTATCAGATATTTTATAGCTATAATCACTCTTTTTCTCGGTGTTTTGCATCCCTTGTGCATATACGAGTTGTAATGAGATAGAAGTATCTAAAAATACTGAGGATGGTGGTTTTTGCATAGTGCTAGTTGATTATTTCTCATATATCGTCATATGCACAACAGTCTGGTTCCCGGCTCTTATACCATTTATAGCATCTTAAACTAACCGTACAAGATATTGTCCACTTTGTTCATGTCTTTACTCACGATTTTAAAACGCATCTGATAGATGAGGTATTTAGTTTTTTACAAGACATTCTTTTTTCAGCTCCCCAACAGATATGGAAACTTACAGTATATGAGTTATAACTCAATTACAGTGATCTTGTTGTTAGCCTATAACTCAGTTATGGTGATCTTGAAACTGTGAACAAAAAAATATGCTAGACACGTTCAATCAGGGAAGCAGATAAAAACTAATGAAACTTACTGAAAATATACTTTAATTAGCACCATAGTCAACTAAACAGAGTTTTTTCAATAACTCAAATAAATAAGTTATTTATTAACATGGATATCCAACCCGCTATGCGAGCTGACTAATCTCATTGCGACCACATGCTTTGCTGGTAGCCCAGAGTCATCGTATTTGAATCTCCGTGGTCACAAAAGAATTTTTATTTCTCATTGAATTTGAACCTGAGACCTTTTGACCTTTAAAGCCCAAGCCAATTTATGGTTGTCAAGCATCGACTATTTTTGGTTCTGTTTTCTTGCTCCAGACTTTCTAAAACAAGTTTCCGTTCAATAAAATTCCGAATATCAGTATTCCGTTTGAACCAAAACTGATATAAATCATATCGTTTTCATTTTACTTCTTTTTCTTTGTTTTTATATATTTTGTTGAATTTATAAATACAACAACTTTTTATATTTTGTTAGAAAATTATTGGTCGGTGTTTATAACTTGTATTTTAGTATGCAAGTTCTGTTTTGTATCTATAATAAAAAGGCAATTTAAATATTTAATTAATAATTAAATATTTAATTAATAATTAAATATTTTTATTAGTTAAAAGAATTTATTTTTATTTTGCTACGTGTCAATATTGGATTTGTTTAATAAACTTATAAAACATTTAAAGGTGCATTTGGTTTAAGCAGAGGAATGAAAATGGGTATGAAAATGAAAATGACAAAGAATGAAAATGGGAATGGATTTTCATTCCTTTTAGTTTAATCTGTAATGAAAATTTGGGCTTCTGAAGAAATTGACCCATTATACTATAAGAAACCAAACAGTTTCTTTTATTTTCATTTTCATTAATTACTGCTTAATACCTCTTATCAAACACCCTTTAGATTATTTCGAAGGGAAATTTGATTGTTGGAGAAAAAAAATTGATTACTGGGAACTCCACCTTGACCTATACGAAACCTGTTTTTAAGAACATTAATGTGAGGGGTATTTTTTGACTCACGGTCGTTGTTGAGAGTTTTGGAGAACAGTAAGAGGCAAATAAGAGGTTTGTTACCTCTTACCAGATAAAGGACAATAAGACATAAATGACTCTGAAAATTTAGAAAAAATAAGCAGTCTAAATACCCCTACCTCTTCATGGATCAGATATAAGAGGCTAATAAGAGGTTTTATTAAACAAACAAGGCTTTAGTATCGTGTTATGATAGTTATACATGTAAATAATCAGTTTAAAATACCAGTTGCAACAAAAGTAAATATTCATATGGTAAAAAATAATTATCTATTTACCCTTTCTTTTTTCAACACGACATTTTTACGTTATTTCATAAAAAGATGTCATTTTTGGTCATTTTATCTATCAGTTTCTTAAATAATCATAATCTGCTAGCATTCAGATAACTATTTTAATCATAAGAACTTCAAAAAGGAGAAAATTGTCCAAACGCTATATTTTACAGTCATTTTGTTACAACAGATTTCGATTTTTCAGTATCATATTAATCGAATTCAAAAACGCCCCTATATTTGTGTTTTGTCATTAATGGGCCGAGGCCCCTCAAGAGAGCCCAAATTTCTAACTAAGTCTATTATTATAACAAGGATTCGATTGTCTCGTTAGAAAATGTTTGAATTAAGACATATGTTTATATTAAGATCGGTTATTTCGGTTTTCATGTGATGAATTACCATTTTACCCCTAATTAAGAAAAATCAACCAATGTTATTTTACAGCAACGATTGAATCAAATGCTTTACTTAAACTGATTCGCCATTGATTTCTTTATGACATGTTTACTTAGAACTTCGTGTTTTTTCTTTTTTTATTAACTTGGATATATAATCTGCTATGCAAGCCGACTAATCTCAGTACGACCACCATTTTGCAAGTAGCCCACAATCACTGCATTTGAACCTCGTGGTCACAAGAGAATTTTTATTCCTCATTGGATTTGAACCTCGGACCTCCATATACTTTTGACATTTGGAGCCCAAACCGATCGGGCACCACCTTATGGTTAACGCTGTATTTTTTGAATTTAGGTAGAAAAGAAAAGAAATGAAGGGAAAATGAAAAAAAAAAAATATATATATATATATATATTTGAGTTCCCGAGAGAAAAATAATAATTATTTGGTCCGTTTACGAAAACGCTTACCAGGTGTCACTTACCTTCAGAGTGAGAATGACAGGGACCTAATCTTACCCAGTGAAAGGCATATCAAGAACCGAGATTCTTACCTCGTAAGTGAGGGAGAAGACTCTTACCCGGTAAGCGTTTATCAGGTAAAAGTTGCTTACCAACAATCTACTTTGATAGCCAATAATGTTATCCAATAAGGTAAGCGAGGGTAACAATCTTCCAGATGAGTGCTCACCCGATAAGCTTTTTGCAAACGACCAATTGCAACGTTTTCTTCTCACATTTTTTTTTTTTGAATTTTGCAATTATTATAAATTCCGACATCGGTACCATATTTCCACAAAAATATTGGCGAGTTTCGGAAATAAAAGTCAAATACAATGGTGCAAAAGTCAACTACTCTTAAATAGAGCTATTGAATTATCTTGTATGACTTTGTTCTCTATTAATTATTGTGCTTTTCATCTGACAGATAAATATGTACCTGTCTATTAATGTTTTATAGCAAAATCTGAACGCACAACCTCGTGATTGGTGGATTGATATAAAAGAGTAAACGTAACCAAGCCGAAGACTCTTTGGCAGCTAACAGTATCTTGCTTTAACGTTTAAACGAAATCAGATGATTTATCGTAAACAATAAAAAAACAGTAGTTACTTAAAAGACTTGGAACAAAAGCGTCGAGCTCTTTTAGGCTAAGTGCAGTCTTTGGAGTTGAACTTTTCAGGCTGGTCCTCAAAATTTCGGCTTGATCCGGCTTTGAAGTATGACCTTGACTGAGCTTTGGGTTCACTGGGCCTGCCTTTTTCGAGTTAAGCTTTAAGTATGGACTTTTTTCGTGCATCACTAATGGGCCGTTTAGCAAACACTTACCCAGTAAGCGTTTAGCGGTAAAATTTAACACTATTATGTACTTATCGGGTAAGATTTTAGTCCACCAAAACGACATAGTATACAATAGTTTACCTGGTAAGCGCTTACTACCGTGGTAAGAGTCGTCCCCCTCACTTACCGGGTAAGGCTCTTGATCCTTGTCTCGTTCTTATTGGGTAAGATTCTTGGTCCTTACTATATTCATCCAACGAGGTAATGTTACTTGGTAAGCGCTTACTCGGGTAAGCGTTTGGTAAACAACCCCTTACTTTCATAAAATTGTCTAACAGTGTATTTTCAAAAAAAAATTTCATATTATTTTTTATTATAACATTGTACTTTAAATTTTACCTGTTATAGCCATGGTGACCTCTGTTACCTGATGAGTTGGTCATTCCCTAATTGCATTTAATTACGTAACATACTCCAACTGATACGGATGACAGATATGAATCGCTTACTGACATATATTAAAGAAAACCTTTTCATAAGACGACTGAAATGAAACGACACGTTGATATCGATTTTCTTGATGCGATTGGAATAAACAAGGTCTAAAGTTATATAGTACATTGGTGAAATTGATGATGAAAGAAATTGAGGTTGAGATCATATAAAATTTGTGTTGAAATTATATGGAAATGATGTGGATTTTGTTAAATCCTAAACAACTAAAAGAACAAATTGCATGAAAAGGTAACATACTTTAACTTTTTTTTTTTTGAAAGGCAAAAGGAAGGGCAAGGAAGAGAGTTTCGGCAAGGCCATCACCCTCAACCAAGCCAACCACTAATATTAAACAAAACATAAGCGAATCCAGCAAGAAGCTAGATACAAAAAAAGTACAGAATACCAAATACACGACGAGGGGCAAGAAGACGAAAACATCCCCTTACAAAACCAAGGTAAAAACCTATCCCAAACATACTTTAACTTGATTATTATTTTTGGGTGACGTACTTTCAAAACTTTCATTTTGGTACCTAAG